AGATTTGTTGATAGATAATACTATTAGCAGAGATAAAATTAATGACGTCGGTATATTTATATGTATGTATGATATCAAATCTGCATCCTGTTTTTCTCATGACAATAACGGGTTAAAGTAAAAAGTTTGGTTTTAAAAGGTTAACAAATAAATTTTGATTTTAGGAGATAGGAATTTAGGTTTTCATTTAAATTGCTACAAATGGATAAATGAACACTTTTACCTTAGACATGATTCCCCGACTTTTTTTTTCTTCCCTTGCAAGAGCAGGGATTTAAAATATTGCTTAAAATCAGAAATAAAATTCATATATAATGTTTTCTAATGAATTATATAAATAATATTACCTATCTAGACTAATAATAAGACGATATACTTTTATAGTTGTTTAAATATGGATCATTTCACAACTGCAAATTTCGAATACCTTAATAAATTAGCTAACAGTAACACTTTTAATAAATAAATATTTTATACTCAATTTTTCTACATTTAACATTCTCAAAAAGTAGAATAGAAACAAACAGGGTACCAGCTCTCAACGGAGCGGAGCATTGCGTCCATTGTTGATCTTACATGCTCAAAGAGTAACTTCTTGACTAATCTGGTACTACAAAATGAACCAAGAACAATAGCTTCTTACTTTTGCTTATTATGTTTCTATATAATCCATAATATACTGAGTGAGACAATGCAACGATGAATTTTTGCTTCTTCATATTATTTGGATTTAATAAATGAATTTGATGATTTATTTTGATTTGAAATCATCAAAAATATCATCTTCAATATGGTAGCGGAGTGTGGGCTAACACATTAGACGCCGAAAAAGACAGAAAAGAAATAATAGTGGTGCATAGAAGGGTGGCTTTACATATCACATCCGCGTATCGCAATGTCTCGGCGGAAGCAGTTTTTATAATAGCAGGTGTAATTCCTATTCATCTTCAAACAAAGAAGCGCTAAAGAGTATACAACAAGGAAATGAACGAATATTACACTCAACAAATAAAAAGAGAAGATCAAAAGCAAATAATTGAAATGTGATAAGAAAGATGGAGCAATTGCAGTCTAGAAAGGTGGACAGCTAGACTAATAAGAAGCACATGGCTTAAAAAACTAACATAAAGGAGACCCTCCTCGAAGTAATGCGAAATCGATTTCAAGGAGGAAACAAGTCTTTCCGAAAAGAGGGTGTTTTAGTTCGTGTACTACATATTCATGTCCGGGAGTTGGGCATACCATTCCAACGATGATCGGTCTGACGATGCATAGAGCATTTCACCTCCTCATCACAAAAAAAAAAAAATTAATTTTTACCGATTTCTAATTGTTAATTGCGTTGCTTACATCTTTTATAATGAGTTTTATTATACAATTAAACTATTTAACTTTCGATCCTTTCTAAATCGTTTTTCCAGCTATATCCAGCTATAATTCTTTCATCTTTTACAATAAATTAAAAAAATGTCAACAAAATCGGTCCGCAAACATTCACAATATACCTCTTACGTAAAAAATTAGTAAATAAATATATACATATATATATATAAGTATATATATTTTATTGATAAAATGTTGTAAGGTACTTTGTAAATTTTATAATAGCAATTAAAGTCCGTTTCGCTGTTATGTCATATATTGTATACAAAATGCTCACACTTACAAAACAGATTTGTTAATTTGAAATGAAATTTTCAATTTTAAATTATTTAACTTCAAAAATTATGTACTAAAATATGTACAAGAATAAGTTATACAACATATTTGAAGCTTTGTAAATTTAAAGATGTATTATGCAAACTATGTTAAAAAAAAAAAAAGCTTATTCAAAAATTATATACTGTGTCTATAAAATATCTCAACTTTCTATTCTTTAAAGAAAGTTTTGTATCTTGACATCATCTTGAACCTGATTAGAGCTACATGTTTTTTTCAGTCAGAAGCATTTGCCTCTGGCTAAATAATTCATCATCTTGTTCAAGCCAACGTTTCCAATTTTGCATAATAAGTTTTGCCAAAAAATATTGACCCAAAATCAACCGATTGAGTGTCTGACGGCTTACAAATATTTCGCATTATCTTTAAAAATAAAAAATAATAAAGTTCGTCAATCTTAGCATCTTGTTATTTTAACATCTTGTGAGTGAATGAATTTTATAATTAGGAACCGCATTAAATGAGAAAATAAATTTATTAAAAAATTAATCAAATATTGGAGATATTTGTTTTAATTTCATTATTCTCAGGAAATAAAATCTGAATTCAATTCGAAACATAAAAACATTGTTAATTACTTGACCTTAATACAAGATATACAAAAGCTAATAATTTGAAATACACATATTCAGAAGCTAATAATTTCCTTAAATCATAACTTAGGTGCCAAGATGTATAGCCTTATAACGGGACAATTACATATAAGAATCATCATCCTAATGCATCCTAACGGCCCTTTTTTTTTTCTTTTTGTTCCCTGCTAATTATTGAAAAATTTCATGAATGAGTCCTGGGATATAGGAATTTACATTAAGTTATTTAGTAACTGATTCTCACTGCCCTTGTATCCCTTATTTAAAGCCATTCCGTGCCTATTGCCTGTGTTAACGATTAACGATGTCTGAACTCTGTGTATTCTTAGCTGTTACCCTATATGACTATAGGGTAACATAGAAAAACAGAACTGTTCCGCTAAAATCAAAATCGAATCGACTTCAATAGCCAATCTCAGATTTCAATCATTAGAAACATTTTTTGAAAATGGAATGATTCTAAGTCTCTTTGGAACAAAGGTATTGGTATTTCAAAACGGGAACTTAGTCAGAACAATATAAAGTGAAGTACTTTTCAGATCAGCTCAACAAAACAATGATTTAAATAATAAACAAATCGCTTTTACCTTTTAAGACAATATATAAAGTGTATTTAATAAGTAGGAGAATTTTTTAATAGTAAATTCAATTGAGGCAATCAAAGAAATTGAATGAGTCAATTTTGTATTATTTGGCACATATTTTTTGACATTATTGTGACTAATAGATTGATGAAAAATAATTTAGTGTGTAAGACTTATATGAAAGAAACTGTAGTACTCAATTTTTCATCGCTTTTTTATCGTTAGAGGCCAGACTAAAACTGATGCTAGCTTGACCGATCAATAAAAGATCGTTGTTGATCAATAGAATATATCAACAATTTTGAAAACTTGCACTGAAAGTAGTCTAGCGATACTAAAACACATGACATCTATGTTTCTTTAGACTATGCGTAAAAACTTTTTATTTAAAAATTCATTGCGTTACTCTAAGAATATCGCATTTGACACCACGCTGTTGGTACCAAACGACTACCGGCCCATGTCAACTCAGTTTTGGAAACAAGAACTTGTTCAACATGTCTTGATATGGATCGTCATTGGTTGTGACACTTCTCCTTTTTTTATTTTGAAAAAGCAGTTCGTATTTCGGGGTTTGTCAGTTGCTGATAGATGACCATTAGAACTGTTATATTAAATGCGACGCTAACGATGATCGTCTGTTCAAATTCTTCCATTAATTGAATGTCAACGAAGGTTTTTGTGAACGATATCGGATCAATTTGTTTAGGTTAATGTTAACGGTGACTATAGTTTTACTTATGCTGTACACACTGTTGATTGTCTTTTGACGTCCAAAAAGTAAATGTGCGAGATTATTCAATCATTCAATACTCGTGAATGCAAACACTGGATCTCTAGAAACAAGTTTCCATAATTTATATAAATTGATTCGGGCTAAGCTTTTGTGAATCGTTAAAAAATCCCTTGGCCATGATAAACGACAAAGTTATTGAGTGCTACCATATTCAAATTGACAACATTTCTTCAGAAATTGTTTTTGAAATCATTTTTTCGGTTTTTAAATGCTGTTAAATGGCACGTTTTATTTTCGCATTTTGTTTTGTGCTGTTAGTTAGCACTGTTTTTAGTTGTTTAACTTATTTATTTGATCTAAATTAAGCAGTAACTGCGAGTGTGAGCGAAGTGAAAAAGCTTATTCGCAATTATTGTAAAATTCGATATAATAGAATAATTCATGTACAATTGAACATCTCGAAAGTAAGACTTAATTGCTTCAATGAATGATGTTGATGATTTTGTTTAGAAATAAATATGTTAATTTTTGTTATAATTAATTAAATATAATGTAAGAAAATAGTAAAAAATAAAAATCTAATCGTGTAGTCTATTAAATAAACCTGTTATTTCCATTTTTATCTCACAAATACTTATTGCAGTATTTTAGATTGAAACATATGTAAAAAGAATTTCAGGAAATAAAAATTAATGACTTTGTCTTACACAAAATTTATTTTGATTATTTTTAATTTAGAAATACAAATTTCACATTATTTAAAGAGAAAATTTAAAAAAATCTCATCGCGAATTTTTCTTAAAATGTGATTTAAAATTTCATCACGTTTTCAAAATACTAGATCCCATCACCGCTGCCATCACCAGTTCGTTGATGCACTTCTAAGATTAAAAACTAAATAAACAGTAGAAAATCTTAGAATTAAACAATTTGTTGAACTTGACACTGTCGTCTTTATTTAAAAATATACAATTTCCAATGTGTGATAATCTATTTTAAGTGATTATGATATATGGATACGAATATGTACTAGATAAATCTCTTCCCCTTGGTACATGATCAAGTCTCGCGGTGACAAATGTGTGCCAACAATTAAAAAATCACAATTCATTACAGCAACACTAGCATTTCAATGGCAGTGATAGTCACAAGAGCGTATTGATAGCATTCATCACAAACATTGTGTGATCTACGTCATACAATCGTTGCGACGTGCCAAATACACTCACATGTATTCGTTACTCTCTATGAATTATGTACTGTTCTCTGTTGCGTCTTTAATAAAAATTTTAATGTAATTTGGTTCAAATTTTTTAGAAAAGTGTTTTTTTAAATGATCTACACCTGAAAATAATAACTATTTCAAAGTTCGTTTTTAGGAAATCTTAAATATTTGTGTAAAAACAATATATGATGAGTAAAAATGGACACCAAAATCCGGCATTCGTTAACGATTGCATTGACAAAGCACCACAAAAACTTTCATTAGAGTTGACAGAAAAGGGTGGAAAAGCAGTAGTGACTAAAGATCCGGAGTATAATCCATATGCTCATAGGGAGGTGGAACATCCTACAACGTAAGTATATCATTTAAATATATTAAATATTAATTCTGTACAATTTTTTTCCAGGAATTCCGAAACTCTGTTTCATTTACTAAAGGGTTCCTTGGGCACTGGTATTCTTGCGATGCCAAATGCCTTCAAAAATGCTGGTTATATTACCGGATCAATAGGTAATTTATATAAATGACATTTATTTTATTATATGTAGCTATAAAAATTATAACTCATTATAACTCCTTTAATTAAAACAAATAATTAAAATTGTTTAAAGAAAAATGAAAGATTTCCAAGCAATTTGAAAACAAGACAAACATCCGGAAATACCAAACCCGATATGTACATTCCTATATGTGCTACCGAATATAGCGAAACGATAAAATTTTATTTCACCTGCCCCTTATGCATTGTTTTATATGTACTCGTATTAGCTTGTAAACTAGTACGCAAACGAATAGATTTCAAATGAAGTGAATACTCGTATGTACGCCCAAAAACGTAACATATATAACTAGGAAGTAAGGAATTTAAAAAATGACTGTTTATGAGCATGAACATAACTGGCACGATGAAAATATATGTTTTAAATCTTTTACCAGATATTCACATACTTAAAAGTTATTAATGCCAATAGCTCTTTAAGCATCTAAGTATTTGTATATAAATACTTAAAAATTACTCTAATTATCACTAACCTTTCTGTTTTCAGTTCAAAATTTTCAGTAATCTAGTTATTTATGCCCTTTTCAGGAACTATTGTTATTGGTTATATCTGCACATATTGCATCCATCAACTCGTTAAAGCTGAATTAGAGTTATGCAAACGCAAAAAGGTGAGTATATAGTTCATTTAATGAATTTCGAAAGAACTATTTTACTCATTTATGTAAATAATTGGAAAATTTATATTTTAGGTTCCCAGTATGAATTATCCAGCAGTGGCTGAACATGCTTTAAGTGAAGGTCCTACATTCTTTAAAAGCATGTCACCGTACATTGGACACATTGTAAATACATTTCTATTGATTTATCAATTGGGTACATGTTGTGTTTACGTTGTATTTGTAGCATCGAATATTAAATCCATTGCGGATTATTATCTCGAAACGCCTATCGATGTACGCCTATGTATGCTTATAATACTCATACCTTTAATATTAATTAACTGGGTAAGCTTAGAGTCAATAACTGATTACTGAGACTACTGAGACGATAATGTCATTTTTTTGGTTCATAATAGGTTCGAAACCTTAAATACTTGGCACCTTTTTCCACATTAGCCAACTTTATTACAATAATATCGTTCGGAATTATATGCTACTACATTTTCCGTGAACCAGTTACAACTGAGGGAAAGGATCCATTTGGTACCGCATATGGCTTTCCACTTTTCTTTGGCACAGTACTATTTGCGTTGGAAGCAATTGGGGTCATCTTACCATTGGAAAATGAAATGAAAACTCCAAAAAAATTTGGTGGAAGTTGCGGAGTTTTAAATGTCGCTATGATATTGATTGTATTTTTATATGTTGGTATGGGCCTCTTTGGTTATCTTAATTATGGCAGTAATGTTGAAGGTTCAATAACATTAAATTTGCCAGCAAAAGATATGTGAGTATTGAAGTCGAATAATTTCTGTATTTAAACTGTATTTTCGTTTGTTCTTATTTCGATTAGTTTGGCTCAATGCGTAAAAGGATTATTAGCATTTGCAATCTACATCACACATGGGTTGGCTTGCTACGTTGCAATCGATATAACATGGAATGATTATGTTGCTAGAAAACTTGGACCACAACGTAAGAAAGTATTTTGGGAATACGCCGTACGTACTTTATTGGTTCTTGTTACTTGTAAGTAAATATAAACAACATTCCTGTTTGTATTTTTATTGGATTATCTGCTATCCTTATTTTACCAACAGTTCTACTAGCTGTTGCTATACCTAACTTGGAACTCTTCATATCACTGTTTGGCGCACTCTGCTTATCAGCTCTAGGCCTAGCTTTCCCAGCCTTAATACAAATATGTACACATTGGTATTACACTGAAGGACTGTCAAAGATCTGGTTACTTTTGAGCAACTTTGTCCTGATCATTGTAGGTGTGCTAGGCTTAGTTATTGGCACCTACACTTCACTCTCGGAGATTATAGCTACATTCACTAATCATGAAGCCCACTAATTACAATGGATGGCAAATATTCTAGCACATTCCACCAATTATTTTTAAACTAATTTAGTATTAAACATAGACATACCTGTACAATTATTAAGAATATTTATCTTGTAAGGAGTAAACGAAGTAAACGAATATTTATATATCTTAGGATTTTATTTAATGTATCATTTTATAGTTTATATTTAGTGAAATTTATAAATGTGATATGTAAGTATCTTTTATGAGTGCCTTATTGTATATGTATTTCTGGTTAGAAATGTAAATGATTTTTTATATATCCTAAATCACTATAATTAATATAAAGCTTTTCTTCAAAAGCCTTAAAGGGCTATAATATATTTTAGTGATATTTATTCTAAGCAGCTTTATATATATGCCAAAAATAAATATATATTTACAAGAAGAGCGCAGACTTTTAAAATTTAATATATTTATGTAATGTTATATGTATTTTTATTAAACGTATACACAATTTAGAGTATTAGAAATATCCAGAAGCATTCGTAAAATTTAACACTGACTCTACATAATAATTTTAAAATTTGAAATTCTGTAATGTATGGACCTAGAATTACTTTTTTCAATTCATTTGAATAAATAGCAATAGTACCAATAGTAAAATTCTACATATTTACAAGTCATTCTAGTTCTTCAAATAGGCCCCGGTGCAGATTTATTTTGCATCAACTCTTTTACATGGTTCAACCCCAGAAAGTTCTTCAAATTTAAAAGCGCTATTTCTATAAAAAAGATGGTTAAATAATATAAAAGTGTTAGAAATTTTAATAGAAAATAATTATTGATCGAAAGATTTTAATTCATAGTATATTATTTAAATGTTTAAATACAAAAAAATTTTTTCAAAGTTAGAGTGGTACATAACTTGTTGTCACGATCTTAAGAGAACGCTAGCAAGTATGACGAGTATTTTAGTTTATCTAAATTACAAATTCAATTTATTTTATAAAAAACTGATTTCTTTAACGTATCAAATTTATATTTTAAAGCTGCTCGTTCGTGGAATTTACTACCAGACTCGAGCTTAAAATCGAAGAATAACTAATATAAAACTATAACATTTCAATATAATAAGTAATTAAAATATTTATAATAAAATTTCGATAGATGAAAATTCCTTTCAGACCCCAATATTGACGTGGTACAAATTGAACAAGAAACGTAAGAGTTAATAACTGCAACTAAAGCTTAATTTGCTTAGCAGATGTAACTATACTTCATTTCCTGTGTCAGTATCCTTTATCATTAGCTAGGTTAAGATTCAAAATCTTCGTGAACACTTTTATTGCCATCTTGACAGAGTTATCATCTTGCAAAATTAAGAACTTGACAAGTTTACTAAAACCGAACTTATAATAACTTGATTCACCCTTTATGAGTCCTTTTGGTGAACGTATGAATAACGATAATCCATGGCATCACAACAGGCCTTTATTTGAGTTCAGGTGGGCTTTGATGCACAAGGCCGCCACCTTAACTTAATATAATATTTGTGATGATATCAGTGATGATGACGAAGAGAAGACCTTCTCTTCTCAAACACATTCCCTGTTTCTGTCCAGCGCGTAAACAAAAAATAATGAAACTATTGGGTTGCTATCAGCTAGAGGACATCTTGTATGTTGCTGAGGTTTATTAAATCAACACAATATTTCATAGGAAGTTGATTGATTTAGATGTTTTACTTAGATTATGGACACCACAATGTGATAATTTGGCCTAAGTATGTCGATTAGAAACTCAAAAATCCAATGCTTTCTTTCACCTGCCTATTTAACTATTGATAATATCCCTAAATAAGCTAAACAGAAAACTTATAGCCTAATTAACTAACCTTAATTGTCTGTATTTATTAATTTCTTTACGAGCAGCTGAGAGATCAAATAAATGGTCATCCATAAATTTAAAATCAATATGCGTATTCCATTCAAAATCATTATGAACTTTTCGATTCCATAAAAAGGGAATTTCTTTAGCTTCTCTTTTATCTTCGTTTTTATCTTTGATGTATATATTTTTCTTATTATTTAACTGTGGAGGAACCACAAAGTCTCTTCTATAAAACGTTGTCCAAGAATATTTTTCTACTGGATGATTGGGCATTGGATCAAAACTCAAACTAAAACAGACGTTATAAGTAATAATAGATGCATGAAAAATTTATAAAATAATTCACTCTTCCATTGTGTATGACTGAAAGTTAATAAGTTTTCGGGGCGCTATCCCTTGTTTTGTTATCCGAATATCTCTCCCATCAAATGTTTCTTCATATGTGGTTTTCGGTAAAGGTTTCTTCGGATCACACTGGAACCAATTATCAATCTGTAGACGTCGCCTACTGCAACTCATTTTTACTTTCAATTTTGACTCCCGAAAGAAAGTTTCGCAAAATACGAAGAATTTTAAATACACAAATATTTTTAACAACAAATCTAATACACTATAACATAAACGAAATGAATTTATTTATTATTTTTAAACGTTTTTCTATAATTAAAAAAACTAACACATACTAGATTTATTCTTGATTTAGGTATATATACGCTAAGTACTTCAATCGACTTAAAAAGAATTTATTAGTTATTTTAAATCAAGTTTGTCGAAGTTAACAGTTACAACAGAAGTAATTTTACAATATTGAAAATACGAAACACATGTTACCTTCTTCAAATCCTGCCCAAGCAATCAACCAATCAAATTAATTTTAGGAACAGCAAAGCTTCTTCTTCGATCCAAGTACCCTATAGACGAGTATGTCAGTTTTAAAACCCTCCTGCGAATTTATTAAAAGGATTATCTATACTTAGTAGGTCCTCCATGGCTTCAATAACGTAGTCTTCCTTAGAGGAATGTTTTAATTTTCACAGTTCTGTGTATTTTTAAACAAACTGACCAGTACCCTCTTAAAACTATCATGAGTTTTTTAACTATTCCATGAAATCAGATTTTTATTATCTTTAAATTGTTATTTGGGATTTTTCATAGGCCATCAGATTTCTTTTTTATATGATCTACTGCTCTTTAATTAGGGTAATTAGGGTTATATTTTCTATTAATACTGCTTTAAACAAGATTTTCTCTAAATCATTCTTATCCATTCCCTTAACATGAACCAGTCAACGAAACCCTTTAATATTAATCCACTAAGCAATGTTAATCTCACGATGAAGCTTATTTAATTCACTATTCATTTGAACGCGATAGATGTTCCCAGTAAGTACATGTGTTTAAAGGTTATTCGAACAAAATGGAATACTTACAGGATTTCTTGTACATTTTGTGACACTCTCCAAACAATTTCTCCGATTATACAAATTCGTGGAGCCTTGTTTTTTTGTTGAATCGTCGATCTTTCTGTTTATGTTATGCACACACCGCACCTTCCTTAAAGGAGATAACAATATTGGAGAAATATATACAAAGACTCAAGCTCTGCTGACACCGGACTTCTCAATGTGTTATATGATCTACAAGGTTTTCGTTTTCCCACTGGGTTCCATTCGAATGCGGCTTTTGATATATCAATAGGGCTTTTACAGAGTATGTGCCCAATTCATCTCCAGCGTCTTCTCATTATACAACATACATATATGTCTGCCAATTGTTAGAATTATACAAATAAAATTTTTTCTTAATCTAAATTTTGTTACATTTAAATATTTTGTGGACTTTTGTTTTGATTTTACTCCATGCAGAAAATATTAAATAAATTTCCTATCATCATCCTGTAATTCATTCTGAGAAAAGTAAGGATAAAATAAATTAACAGGAAAATTCTGAACTATTTACAATAATTATAAATCAATTTTAGTCTTCAAAATTTTTACGTTAAGGACACAATATTTATTTTTTTAATAATAGCGAATGTATTATGTTGTTTACAAATATAGGCCATGTGCGAGTTCGAGTAAATTGAGGGAAATAGTAAATTATGTCGGTATGGTAGCAAATGTTGGTATTTACCAGAATTTCGAGTAGGATAAATTAGATAAATTAAGTATCACCATCGCGAAAATTTTATAGGATGTGTAATAAATAAATAAATATATTTGAAAGCTTTAAACCAAAAATAATAAATGAATGCAATAAATAAATTAATATTTACATAAGTGCAGTGCAAAAAACCCCAAGGAAATTTCAATTTAATTTACCTCAATTTACTCGAACTCGCACACGGCCACAATGTTCAGTGATTTTTACGTATCCTATACAAATACGTGCGAAGTAGTCGGTACCCATATGGTTATTTTTATTCACCACTATTTTGATGTAAACAAAACCAGCTGTTACCGCCAAGTCATTATTCTAAGTGTATTTTTGCTAAAGAATTTCTAGTTTTTTATATCAATTATTTTTTATAAAATGTTTAATTTGTGTAATTTTTGTGGTAACAAAAAAGTTTGCAATAATTTTCAAGAAAGCGAAGTATCTTTTGAAAATAAAAAAATTAACGCAAGAGAATGCCTAAAAATTTTTGCTTCTGATATCTGTGCGGTAAAATTTATTAATAATGTGAAAAAAAACAGCATTAATATTTTTAATTTCAGCTAAGCAAAGCAGATAAAATATGCAAAAAATGTTTTTGTCAGCTACAAAATTCGTATTTATTTGTGAAACAAATAGAATCTTCGCGGCAGTTCTTAGATCAACAAAAAGAAGCCGTAAACATCATAGAACAAAAGAATGCAATCCAAAGCCCAAAACAGCGAAGTTTATTGCCAAAAGAAGAAGTCAGTACTACAAAAAGAGTTTCCAGTAAAGAGAATTTGAAAAAAGATCGCCGAGTTTATAGATGTACTGAATGTCCAGAAGTTTTTTACTCATTTCGTCAGTGCACAGCTCATCAGAAATTACACGAGAAAGTCATGGAAACAACTTTAACCAACATATGTGCTTTCTGTTGCAGTTTATACGCTAGTTCTGAGCAGCTAGCAAAGCACCAAATAGAATGTCACTCAGAAGGGAGTTACAATTGTGTGCAGTGCCCTTTTAAACATTACAAAAACAAAGGACACTTGCTAAAACACATTTCATCGAAGCATCAACAAAATTCGTTACTGTACTATTGCACACTTTGTAACAAAACTGAAGAAAGTAGCAACTTTGTTTACTTTCTTTCCCGTCATATGTTGGAACAGCATTTCTATGATAACCATTTATCGAATGACGTTGAAATGGATATGAACGAAGAGTTCCTTGATGAGTTTTTACTCACCAATTCTGAGGGCAATGATTTGCATTTTTCCGAATGCTGGGATGCACTAGATTTGAATCTACCTGATATGATGCTACAAATGCAAGCAAATGATAAAAATGTAATAACTCATGCAGCTTTCCAATGCCCTAAATGTTATTTAAGCTGCACAACGCAAAATGAACTGCTTCAACATTTAGCGCATAAGCACCAATTGGAAACTCTAATTTGTAACAAATGTGAAGCAAGTTATAATAATTTAAATGAATACAGAACTCACAAATCAGAGTGTCAACAAAACAATGCTTCCAAAAGCTTTACATCCCATAAGTGTCCGTACTGTGAGAAACGATTTATGGCTAGAAATAATTTCAAACAACACTTGCGCATAGTACACACGAACTTTAAACGGCATGTTTGCCAACTCTGTGACAAGCAGTTTGCTACTTTAGATCATCTCAGGAAACATGTCTTGAGTCAGCATCAAAATGAGCGAAAACATATTTGCCATGTTTGTGCCAAGAGTTTTACACAACTGTGCCATTTAAAACAGCATTTAACTATACACACAGTAGGCAAAACTATTAAGTGTAGTTTATGTGAAGTGACATTTTGGAAGAAAATTGATTTACAGCGACATATAGTAAAAAAGCATAACCGGTGTTGGTTATGAAGAATTAATCAGTTACTGTACCTCACGAAATTAGTTTGTTTTAAGTATCAATAAACGCTGACACTTGTTAACAGTGACCACATTAAAGATATGTATGTATAATAAATTACCACTATTTTTCTATATATTACTTATCCATTAGTATCTTCCCAGTCTTCAAGATAGTCTCATCAATTGCTATGACCAAAATAGTCCTGATAATATAACCATCTAAAAAAACACTTCTAGATAGAATAGAGATAAACAGGGTACCGTCTTCTAACAGAGCGGAGCATTGCGACCATAGTTGATCTTTTATGCTACAACAATTCTCGATACCATACCAACTTTTATTTTTACACCATTTTGCGTTATTTATTGACATTAAATTTAAAATATTGACACAATGAAATACATTGAGTAACAATGAAAGCTAATTATGTAGTTAGTCTATACAATTTTAAAAGTTATAGAATTTTATCAAAAATATACCATATGAAACTACAAAAATTTTCAAAAAAAATTATAATTTTAAAAACCGTGTAATTGCTGAACAAATTCTACTAGCGCCATCTATTAATCTTTCTGTGCTATGAAATCCGATCGATATCCGGAAGCAATTTTTTTTGGCTTTCCCATCCAGAGAAAATGCTGAAGCAGGTATAAAAATAATTTTTTCCTCACGTTTACAGAACTGAAGAAAATCACTTGCATCCGTATTTATAGGCAAGGAAATCCAAATGAAATATCCTCCTCCAGGTGATTTTATACTACAACCTACTGGCAAATGTTTCTGAAATATTGCACAAGTAGCCACCATTCGTTCATTATAAATTTCTTTCCAGCAACTTATTTGGGTCTGCGCCAAGCCAAGCTCAAACAAACTGGTTAAAATGCCTGAGGTGTAGTTATTAAAACATCCGCCACTTCTAATAACACCACTGTAATTATAAAACCAATGTCAGTAAATAGTAATAAAAGGTCTTATAAATATTTACGATTTTAATAGAATTGTTCGTATTCTAGGCGAAGTCTCGATCCAACCCAATCGTAAACCTGGTCCTAAAATCTTTGAAAAACTGCAATTCGAGATAACATTGCCTCGAAAATCAGGATCAGTGTTCTTATCGTATGCATATAAACGTTTTGGTGGAGCATTTCCGCAATAATTAAGTATATTGTAAACATCATCACAGCAAATGAGAAAGTCATATTTACGTGCCAATTTCACCAATCCTTCACATACCGCTGTGACATAGATCAATATAAATGTCTGTAAAAACTGAATATACTTTCTGATATAACTAAATTTACCCTCTGAGAAAAGTAAGCCTGTGGGATTGTGGTATACTGGTATGCTGTAATAAATACCCCAAAATTCCTTGTTTTTCGGTTTGAATTTTTTTTCCTCCAAAATGCACTCAAATCGAGATAAGTCAACACCTTCATCAGTCAATGGAACTACACGCATATTAAATAATTATATAGATAATGTTGAGAATTCGAATATGGATGTTTTTCATTTACTTGGTATTATTTGTAATGTATCAATTTGTTTTATAGCATCAAGAGCTATCATATATGTCACTTCGTCAATAAATACTACTCCATTCAAATCGACTAATGTTGTCAATACAAAGTGTAAACCCTGAGTAGCACCACTGGTTATTATCATATCATCACTAAAGTAAATCAATATCAAATTGAAATTTTAATTTATACTTAATTATGCTTATCTTGTAAAATAAATTTTTCATATCTTACCTCTTCACCTCGCTTTGATATTTATCAGTACAAAACGTTGCAATAGCATTACGGGCCTCCTCTATACCCGGAGTTGGACCATATTGAAACAAATAAGCATTGTTTTTATTTTTTTCAAGATTCTTATGTCGAAAATGAACGTTAATTGAATAGTTATTTCAATACGAATATATTTACCCACCATTCGGTGTACCGAAGCAATCTTAAAGTTCTCACAGCACTGTTCCAGTAAATCTGAGCCAGGAGTGCCTACACTCAAATTTAATACATCACACTTATAGACATTCCAGTCGCTCTCGTCGAATAGATGCTTCATAGTATCAACTTTTAAACTAAATCGATTTTAATATACAAAAGCTTATTTTTTAATCAATTGCTAACAATAAAGTTTATATGTCGATCTAGCTCTTACAATTCTTTTTGTATGTCAGGAACAATCTTCCAGCAGCAATTCAGGAGATTGCGTGAGCTCAATATTCGTAACCTAATAGAAATGAAGATAACGAATATTTTGAATATCTTATTTGCATAAATAATTTACACAGAACTTTAAACTTAAGTAATATATATATGTATATATATATTTGTATATATATATATATGTACGGGATATAGGGTTTACAAACATCTTCAGAATTGTATTCTATTCCTATTTGAAAGGTATTTCTGAAATATCGCGGAAATTTATATACATATAAATTATTATATAAAGAATAGAATTTTATGTAATTAATCAATGTGTGTTATACGTTAAAATGAAATTAATTGGTTGACATAATTGTTAAATTGGACATTAAAGAAATTAAACCCTACGGTCAAAATATTGACAAAAAACAAAATGCCTTGCTTCTTGCTTCAGTTAAGAGGGGTGAGCAGCATTTGAGCATCTATGTTGACGAATGGTGCCAAAACATAGACCCTGACATCGTTGGGATCATAATTAACAGAATCCTTTAAAGTAGAATAGATCGACTATCTCAACACAGATAACATTAGTGATATTAAAAATTGAGAAAAGCTTTCATTCCTCAATAATATCCAAAAAGATACAATCTCTACAATTCTTCACCTAAAATCTCAGTGAAAGAAAAATACGTTCAATATACAACAAAAATTGAAACACAATTTTAAATCCGGATATAACCAAGTACTAAACAATTACTTAGCATAAACGTGGTCCTTTCAACGTAAGATTAAATATCGGAAATAACATTCAGTCCTCCGTAAAATCCAAATACATTCTCTACAGCTGTACGCTTACAATCTTCATACAACAAAACTGTGTTCCATGTGCAACAAGGACTGTACCAATTGAAATCGCGTGCAGCTACGTAATGAACAATTATATGTCACGCATTAGATTATAAGGTTCCTCTACCTTGACCAAAGTTAAGTTCAATTGTTTCCACCTATTTTTTTTTTTTTTTTTGTGTCTAACTTAACTCACCAAGTAGGTACATGTATTGCTATCCGTGTAGACGTTTGATTTTTAAATTCTAAAAGACTACAACATCAACGAAGCGTCAAATGTGCATTCTATTCTATTCTATTATTGTTCTTTCAACTGAAATTCTATATAAATTGAATCAATTTACTATAATAAAATGAACGTCAAACAAGATAGTTTCAATTTTAAACCACAATTAGTTTGACGAAACAATTGTTAAAATAAACGTCAATTAAAATTGTTTTTATCGTAGTATAAATAAATAAATGTTAATAGTAAATTTTATGCAATTTCAAAGCCTAATGCAAACACACCTATAAGTTTTATATGGAAACATAAAATTTAAAAATAAATGTTTTTCTTATGTTTATTTTAAGTATTTACAATATAACAAAAATAAAAGAGAGTTGGTTACTGTTATAGTTTGTCATTAAAAAATTGTTTTTAATAAATTGCAACATTTAATATTTAAATATTACTATTTACATATTTACCAGAGAATACTTCATAAAATTCAGGCTCTATCTTTTGAAAGTAAACGACAATTCAGGTTCTTTTTGAATTTCCTAACACTTATTGACTGTATTTGACGCAAACTTGGTAATGCCCACGCAAATGTACGAGTTACCAAATAATTTTTGCAAGATATTCTTTGACTTTTAATATGAAGAGGTTAATAGGATATTTGACAATCTGGTAACGTTCATACCAGCCGTTCAATTTGTAAACAAATGTCAGGTGTCGACTTACACAAAACAATATTGACGTATATTGAATAGTTGCTAAATGCGTTATAATAATTTCTATAATAATTGAAAACTTAAGATAGTGAAATTAAAATGGAATCAACTGTCACATCTAAATCGGAACAAAATCTTTTGGATTCACCTATAAGAGGATCTTTATCGACTAGTACTTCAAGCTTTGAAGCATTGGACCCACACGACCCTAATCTTAGCAAGCTCGCCACAAAAATGTTTCGTAAAACTGAAGAATACATAACGCATGAAATTAATACACCATTAGAGGACTATAAATTACTTGAAGATATGAATAAAGCAACTGTGGCGAAATATTCTGATATGCGTCAAATTGCTGAGAACTTAAGTGTTTCAACAAATGAACTTAGTTATAAATTTCAACAATTGGTATAAATAAAGATAAAATTATGTTAACATATCTATTAAAAGCTAAATACATATTACAGATACCATTAATGAAACAAATAGACGAAATATCCGACACGGTAGATAAACTGGAAGCAGCAGCTTACAAATTAGATGCTTATAGCATTGCCTTGGAAAATCGTGTTAAGTCAGTACTACAACGCAAATCAACATTACAATAAATAACAAAATTTAAAAAACATTTTATTGCTTAATTATTAACAATTAAATTACAAAAATCATTAGCCTAGTATAAGCTTGAAAAGTATTGCTAGAATGTTTAAGAATATGAGGGGAACTGAAATAAAAAGTGTAAACTCGAATGAATTATTAAATATAAATTAAGCTCTTACTTTTAGCAACAGTTCGTATGGAACGTATTAAATTCAGCATTTGTGCCTTTGCCGAAGGGTCACCAAATTCATTTGCTTGAGGCCGCGCTCCCCAACCGACTAGAATTAGTAATGTGTTGAAAAACAAAACACCTTTAAAGATTATTATATTGCTTACACTTGGCTAAAAAGCGTTCCTCATGCAACACGCAGACTGCATTTAAACACAATAGAGACGCTTCTATAAGAGTCCACAAAGTAAACATTGTTTTCCACTGCACTTGATATGGTTTATTTGTTAAGAGATGACGTTCTTATTTCCGTTGTTCGATGTCATATTTAGAAACGATTTCGCTAGTGTAGTGCTGCCATACTGACAATTCTTCTACGTGCTCTAAATAAATTCATCATATTGTTTTTCACATACGTAAAAACATTCATACGAAAAGTAATTCCATATATTCTATCATATAGGCCATATGCGAGTTCGAATAAATTGGTGGTAAATTGAGAGAAATAGTAAATTATGACGGTATGGCAGCGAATGTTGGTATTTACCAAAATTTCGAGTAGGGTAAATTAGATAAAAATAAGCTAAATTAAGTTAACTATTGTAAAAATTTTAGAAGAGTTTTAATAAATAAATTTGAAAACTTTAAACCAAAAATAATAAATAAGTACAATAAATAAATATTTCCACAAGTGCAGTGCAAAAAATCTCTAGGAAATTTCAATTTACTTTACCTCAATTTTCATGAACTCGCACACGGCCATAGTAGAAACACAACTATCGTCAGAGAAGCTTTAAGAAAGCGACAGTTCGTTTCTTAAATTTAGTAGATAGAAAACAAAGAGTAAAGCATAAAGCAAACATAATTGCAAACCATAGTAAATATGTGGATTCACACGGTAGTTTTGTTTGTAATGTAATACTGGATTCACACGAGTTTTGTTTCTGATTTCAGTTGTCAAAAATTTTCAGTTTGCATTTAAAGCGAGAACAATTGACAGCTAAAATTACAAATAAAACTTCCGTGTGAATCCAATATAAAATAAGAGCACTTTCTGAGTTATTTCGTTGTTAATATAAAAATAAATAATAATATTTATATATTAAGCCTTTTAATATAAAAGGCTTGACAACACTAAAAATAATTTTGATATTACTCAGATCGTTCCGCTGATTGAAATTAGATTACAAACATGCCTGCAAATGCATAGTTATATTACCGTAAACTATTCATAACAAATTTTCAACTGTTAGAGCAATTTTCAGATATAATATGTGAGAAATAAGTAAACTTGTTGTCAGATAACTTTATAATTCAATTGAGTTTCTGCTACTATCGAAATCGTATTATAATATACTAAAAAAAACTTTTTACCTATGATGACGTATGCTAAAAAAACTTTTTTACTTATAATGACATATACTAAAAAAACTTTTTACTTATGATTGCGTATTAATTATTTATTATTGCAATTAAAGCTTTTAAATTCATGCCAAAAGATGTACGATAATTTTAACAGGACGTAAAACTTTGAAATTAACCATTGTGGTCTGCTGAACGATGTCAATAGTAATCCATTCTAGGAAACCGCAAATATTAACTAATTACATTTTCTCTTAATATTCATAATAAATATGGCGCCGTCCCTAGGTACTGGCATATACGACAAGAAATCCGAGAATTCTGCACTTATTGTAAACATTTCACTTACACTCTTCATAGTCACTTCCCACGGACTAGATGTTTTCTCCACTTTACCAAGTTTAGCAAGTTGGGGCTGAAAACAAAACAATATGTTTGACAAGGAAATTATAAATATGCTTAATTAAACAAGATTACCAAATAATACGCGTAGTCAACTAATTTAGCTGACACAAGCAAATTTTTATTAAATGGAGGTTTACTAAACAAAGTGCCATCACAACATTTTATGAAATGTTCCAGAAACATGTTTCTAAGCTTCCTCTCATCTGTGCTATTTGAGGTCGCTCTTAGTTTACTGATCCATTCCGTGGCAATGATTTTTTCACGATAGTTACATTTCCTAATTATTTCGTCAAGCCTATGTAGATTACAATGAAATTCTTGATCTAATTGTTGATCAGCCATCTTCAAAATTTACGTCCCAAAGTAAAGCCAAATACTATTTTTATCTGCGTTAATTTTGAACAATTTTTATCTTGTAATTTTTTTTTCGTGATAATTTCAATTCAATTCTAGATTAGAACTAATATAAGAGCAATGCCTACTAAGATTATATAACAAACAATATTGTTGAGGAAAGTATTAAAATTATAACATTGCTTTGATGATTAGTAATGAATTAATATTAATAATTATTGAAATACACTCTTCTTTTGATTAGCTAAACAATGTGTTTTTCAGAAAATACAATATAGCTTATTAAACGATTATACGTCTTTGTTAAAATCTCTTGCGAGTATTTTTTAAACAACTATTTGTGATATATGCAATTTACTAAACTCCAGTATTTAAATTTTATGAATTCTTATAGTAGTTTTATTGTAACAATTATTGTTTTTTAATTTTGCAAAATTTTGCAGGACGTAAAGCTTAAATGATAATTTTGTATTTAGCGCTTGAGTGATCACAGGTTTGCATTCGACAGAAGTTAGCCAATTTCAACAATCTTCTTTCTTCTTAATGTTCATAATAAAAATTCCACCATCCCTAGGTACAGGCAATTGAGATAGGAAATCGGAAAATTCGTGACTTATGGAAAACATTTCAGTTACGTTTTTCATTGTCGTCTTCCAGGGAGTGTTTGGAGCTTCTTTCTTGATACCGGCAAGTTTAGGCTTAAATCAAAACAGTAAAAGAAAATCAAAAAGAGAAATGAAAATATATATGATTAATATTACCAAATAATGAGCGTAGTCTATTAAATTAGCTGAAGTTGATATATTCTTATTAAATGGGGGCTTTCTAAATATATCAGCATTACAGCACTGTATGAAATGTTCCAAAAACATATTCCTTAGTTTTCGCTCGTCTGTATTGGTTGAGCACGACTTTAATTTGCTTATCCATTCCGTAACAACAATTTTCTCACGATAATTACAATGTAATTTAATTATGTCATTGAACCTAATTAGGTTGCAATGAAACTCTTGATCTAGTTGTTGATCAGTCATTTTTAAGCTTTACGTCCTACAAAACAGTTAAGTGCTATTTTAAACTATAACAATTTGGACCTATTTTTGTAACATCTTTTGTTTTCTATTTTATGAAAATGAAAAAATATTAGATTCAATTTTCACTAATTTATTTTTAAATATTTAAATTTTTCAAAGAATACTAGATTGAATATACAGCAATAATAATAATTTGGGTCTTATTACAAATTCTATTTCAGCTTGACTCCTTAATAATGATTCTTTACTGTTGCAAACTTCAAAAAATTAATATCAAGACGGGGTTTGCTAATTAAATATTCTGTAACGTAATAAAATGAGTAAGCACGTAACGGACCATTTCAATTCTTCTTGGTAAACTAATAAAATTAAATTAATTAAAATGAAATTAGTAAATCAATGTTAAATTCATTATTATTTATTTTTACTTATATTACGTTATTCATTATTTTGCATAAGCACTTCAAATTTAATTCCAATTTTGAAATAACGAGATTTTGCCGTAGTTTTACCGAATAAAAAGAAAATAATCACATCTGATTGTTACTGTAAGCGTATTTCGCTGGTAACCAAATTCATTGAATTCGAAGTAACCAGTAATTATAACGGATTCAACAACACTAAGCGTTTGTTTTGGTATTTATCAATGAATTGTTAGTGCAAAAGATGCACAGCAAGAGTTGTATAAATATTCATCAAAATGACGTCGCTTGCTCGTTTATTCGCGGTGCTATTTTCATTAATATCAATGACGTACACATTTTATGTGGTTGGAAAATTAATGATATTCTTATCATTGCCTAAAACAGTTCCACTGGCATCTAAATGGATATTTAGTTTACTTGACAACAAATCGCGGCTCGAGACGTCCTATGGTCCAATTGCACTAGACACTTTGCTTTTAATTGGTTTTATTTTTCAGCACAGTTTAATGAAATCTGAAATACTGAAAAAAATCTTTAAAATATTCAAATTAGAGGTTTTGGAGAGAAGTATATATTGCATGACGTCATCTCTATGTTTACATGTAAGTATTAAGCACAAAATTATTGATGATTGGAGTTATTTTTTTTTTTAGTATTTAGTTAATAATTGGCAATCGGCACAATCTGTCATACTGTGGCAATTCAATGTGGAAGAAAGTGCACTGCTTTGGTGGACAGTTGTAGTCATACACACATACGCATGGATTGTTATATATGGGGGAAGCATTATTTTGGACTTACCAGAAATTCTTGGAATAAAGCAGGTAAGTTACTCAAACAAAAAAAAATAAATGTCCACTTTAAAGCAGTACATTACAGACCTATTACAATGCGAAGAACTTAGGAACACCCATATCATACAAATCTAATCAACTTTCCGCTTTATACAGTCACGTACGTCATCCGTCATTTATAAGCTTTTTTGTAATTTTTTGGATTACAAACCTCATGAGTTTGGATCGCTTAATACTCTCTGTATTACTAACAGCATACATGTACCTTGCTTGGTCACCCGATAAACGTGATTACGAATATCAAAAAGCACAGTTAAATGCAAAGACGCGGGAATTGCAATGCATCAGACTTAAACGATTTTAAACTTTTTAGTTTTATTTTAGTTGTAATAAATAAATTAAAACACTAATTTATTATTTTAGTTTTAAGAAATTTTTTACCTAATAACACTAATACAAAAATTACTAAAAATGAAAGTTTATCTTTTTTGAAATTGAACGTTTTCGAACGGCATCCCTTTAAAAGGTGAGTCTTCAGCATCCCACGCTTTGCGTAACTTTTGTAGCATTTCATCATTTTCTAAACTGGATTGATGGGTTTGATTTTCTTTTTCTAACTGTTCAGCACGAAATTTTTGTATTGCAGCTTGTGATTCTTCAGGAAGTTCTTCAATAAATCGTTCAGAGTCAATTTTCGTTACATCAATACAATTTTCAGAATCGAAAAGCTTTTCCCACCACATTTCTTTACATTTGTCTGAAAATATTTCGATTATATTAAACTATATAAACAAATGTATGCATATTAAATAATAATTACCAAAATTTATAAGCAACTTATTTTCTGAAATTGTCCACACAGTATCATTATGTTTATATTTGTTGCTTATTTTTTCGTTTAGTATAACATGACTCGGATCCTTCTTACTTTTAATTATTATTTCATTAGCTTTTATGTCAATTGATAATGATTTGGCGCTTGTGAGTGATTCCGGTAACATTACATGCAAATCAATGTCTTTAAGCGTTTGTGACCAACAAAATACATCATGAAGCGCACCATTTTTGTAATCTGCTGGGATAAATATATGTTTTGTGATACCATTTTTAATATTACAAGAAGTAGGAATATTTTCTTCTGATTGAATTGGTAAATCCTCAGTCCCTACTTCAATTTCCGTTACAGCTGCCGGAACATCATAGTCATTGTTTTCCAATGTTAATTTTTCCATGTCATTATCTGGACTATAATGCTGCATTATCATGAAGACGAGTTTTTCACGAATTCCCTTGGGGAATCCTATAGGTTCCTGGTCAGTTTTGATATGATAAAAATCAGTACTAGAAATAATCTGTGTGATATGGGTAATGTTAAATAATAACTTCACATACTTGCGTTTTAAAAATCCAAACACAGCTTCCAAAAAACTATTCACTGTTTTGCGCTCTTCCAAAACTTGCATTAACATGGCATCAGTTCTAGCATTCATCTTCGTTGTATATATTTTATATTTTATTATTTTTAAAAATAAGTAAATATGTCAACTGGTTAGAGGATTGAATATATTTTCCCCTGTGCCGTCAAAAACAATTGGGTATGACACTCGCTGTCAATTTCTTTTTAATTATTTTCTCTTGAAAACTTTAAATGACTTGTTAAAGAGCACGAGCAGCTTGGATTACTCATATTATTAAAATATTACTAATTACTCATTGATATGAATTCGGATTGGTAAGAAATTTGTATTGGATTTCTCCATCTTTCATCTTACACACACATATTAGTCTTCATATCAGAATAGAACAGTGAATAGCGAAAGTAAAATATTTGTATATAATTGGTGAATACGAAAATAAATGTTAAATTACTTTTTAAAATTTTTCTTTTGCTTACAAAATATAATAAGAAGCAATTGGGTCATTCTTGTATGAATGCGTTCCAACGGGGGTTGAATGTGATCCAAATGCAAAGAAATACATTGAACATACCCTAAATAAAAACTTTTCATGGCATTTTGATAGTTTCAGAAAGCTGTTTTTGACATATTAACAAAAAATGTTTGGTGGTTGCATTTTCGTGAAAACGATGCACCTCTTTTTAGAACTTCTACTTCCCAAAAAGTACTTAATCGAAGTTAAAAATATGTTTTCAGTTTATATTGTAAGGTTTGAAGGTATATTTAACCTTCATGCAACATTTTTTTGGCACAGGCCAAAAATCAAATCAACAGGCAAGTACAAAAATCAGCTGTTTAAAATGGGAACAAATGAATTACAACGAATGTAAACACTTACAAATGGCTCATTCATTCGGCCTGGGTAGACGCCATATTATTTATATTGGAATTATTAGTAAGAAATACACAATTTCAATACATGAGATGAAGAACAAATATTGGAGAATTTCAAAACACAATACGAAAATTTGACAGATGCCATATTGTAATATTGTATTCGAAGTAATCGTGTGCACTCCGCTCATTTCATTCGGTACCAACTACGTTATATTTTTGTGTCACATAAGTGTCAAATGCTTCTGCTGTGGATATTTCACCGCGGTGGTCTTATTATTTATTACACAAAGTAATATGAGGAATAGTGAATACAAATTTTATGCAGTCAAAGTTATATACTGATTGAATAACATAAACAACAGCTTTTGTCTTCGAGTCAAATTGGAAAATACTAGATTTAAAAATCTGAAGCACAGCTGACACGAGCTCTTGAAGAGGAACGCATGCATTTCTTTACAAATGTTGGGAGAATTGATCAGGAATATTTCGATACGCCGCCGTCGTTACTTATTGGTTCATTATCTATGTTTGTGATATTTTTTTATATAAAAACATTTTATATTTTAGTTTTAACGTATTTATCACTACATCTCGTTTACACAAACACTGATTATTAACACGTAACACTAACACAATTACAACTTCGCTGTATACACTTACGACGTACGAGTAAATTTGGCGCAATGTATCATTTTGTAGCTCAACAGGCACCAAATCTGGTCCAAATAAGTGAGAAAATTAAAATTCCTGGACATATACGTCAATATTTCAAAAATTTTCAAATTGATGCTATACGCTTTCTCCTTCCGCGATTAATTAAACATGAATTCAGTGTTTTTAATGACGAAAGTGGGTTGGGAAAAAGTGCAGTCGTATCAGTTCTACTTGGAGCTGTGGCATTGTATAAAAAATGCTTAATCGTTGTTAATGATGATGACTGTGTAATGAGCTGGCAATTCCATTTGGATGTATTAACAAATTTATCTGTCATGTTAATTAAAAGCGACAAAGGTAAGCACTATTACCGTTCATTTAAATTACATTTTAAACATGTGCATATGTGTGTTGTCTACTGTTTACAGATTTTACAGATAACGTTTACAATGTATATATTGCAAAATGGAATACTTTGAGATCAATCGATTTGAGTAAATTCAAGTTTGATTATATAGTCATTGATAATCGCGGCGAGATGCTAAATAATAGTTTTTGTACATCAATGTTGATTAAAAACTATGAGAGAAAAGTAGACATAATAATATCCAGTATTGATATCACTGTAAGTAAACTTTGAATAGAAATTTATTTTTAATCCAGTAGAACTCTTATAATTCCAAATTTCTCTAATTTGTCACAACTCTTCGTTCCATTCACAATAAAGCCACTTTTTTAAAGTGGTGTCAATTTGTGGAAACGTTTATTTCTATTTAATAAAGTTTTAGAAAGCCGACTTCTACAAATTCAAATCTGTCTAAATTTAAACAGTAAAACTGTTTGATTTCGAGAAATAACGCAATAATATTTAAACATAATTTCTATGTTTTTTTGTATATTATTTTTTGTCAGTATTAATGTATAGATATTGTACAATTAACAATGAACTAATATAAATACAATACGAAAAAATAGTATGTACTTCTTATCTTATATACATTTTTATGTTTTTCATTTGAAAAATAAATAAATAAATCCATAATTATAATCTTCAGGTTGTGGTTTCATACATACATGCACAAATGAAATGCTGAGAGATGTTAGAATAAACCCGGTCAAAAAATAGATAAGGGACAAAATCCTGAAGGTTTTTTGCGAAAAACCGACAGGCTGTCCTACTTACCACTATCTAATCTCAGAATAATCCGTAGCTACACGGTGCGGTGCGCAGATCTTAGATCAGTCATCGAATAATCAGAAATCACCTAGCTATCAAAGAGTAAAAGTGCCCAGATGCACTAACTCGAGAAAAAGTCAACATGAAAAAAAGTGCCTTTATATAATTGATAAAGATTTTATCATATATATTTAATAATATAAATTCATCGTATATTAAAATTAGTGGTCCATTTCACAATATTTTTAGGGTCTTTTCACAATTATGTGTAGAAATTAAAGCATGGGTAAATTTGTTTTTTTATTATTATATTCGACAGTATGAGTTTTTAAGACTTCTGTTGATTTAACTATTTTTTCACTTCATTAAACTATAATCACTGTGATAAGTTATATCATAACTATAACTATAAAAAAAATTTATTTTGTTATGAAATAAGGAATATTTATAATAAAATCAAAGCATTTCATTATAAAAATACCATAAAATAATTTAACATTTCTTTTTAGTCTGATGTCAGACTTTTGTATAGTATTTTACGTTTGGGTGGTCTTTTGGAAAATAAATATCAATCGTACAGTGTTTTTGAAAATCATTTTAAACTGCCTGCATTGAATGATTTATCATCGCGAAAAATAAAATTAGAGGAATACTACGTTAAACGAGAAATTTTAAGTAACTACTGCAAGTATGTATAAATTGATTTACTGTTTTTAACGAAATTTTAACACAATGCTTTTTAGAGACTTTCGATTACGTCGATTTTGTTATGAGTTCAAGGATGACTTGCCTTTGGTAAAGGGGGATCGCCACAAAATCAGCTTAGGATTATGGCGCACAGCAACTAATATAAATGAGACACAATCCAGTAGTGAGACTGTGAACAATATTGCGATGTCGTTAGAAAAAATAAAACCAAACGGTGCCGTCACGAAACTTTTAGACAATTCAAAGGTCATAAATGTGCAAGACAAAAATAAATTAAAATTGGTTATAGATAATGTTGAAAAAAACGAAGAAGAATCCCCTCTTATGTCTCCTTTATTGCTATTATCTGATTCAGACGTTGAGTCTCTAATTGAAGAAATTGTTGTTAATTGTGAAAAATCAGATTTAGTATGTTCAGACAAACAACCTGAAATAGTGGATTTATCAAGTAATGATGCTATATCTGTGGATACTAAAGTAACTGGATATATTAGAGCTGAAAATCCTAAAACTAAACCTGTTAAAGTACATGTTCGAAACATAAATTCAAATGAGAAAAACAACATTACTAAGAAAGAGGTACAGAAGTGTATGAAACCACCTACGGTATCTAATGTAAAAGATAATGTAAAAAACATTCGCACAAAATGTACTACAAGTGCAGAAAAGCCTTTACTGACTAGAGAACGCAAGACTGTGAAAAGAAAAGACTCTGAAACTTCAATGAAGGCGGATAAACGAACAGCAAATAGAAATAAATCCACTATAACAGTTCAAAAAACTTGTCCCGAAAAACGTAAGAAAATTAATTCATCTGACAAAAATGAAACAGAACTTAAAAAGATAAAAAGATTGGAACAAACTCCAAAACCATCAAAATCAGTAACTACGGAGGTGCAAAGTAACGATAACCCCATCAATAAGAAATCACCGACAATAAAGACACCGAAGACACCGAAGACTCGACGTCGTTCCATAGTTTTGCGAAATGTGGAATGGAAGGCGACACGGAGAATGTCAAGATTGACTCGGCATGCTTTGCAATCTGCTAATAATAAATATTTGCGAAACAATTTAACGCTAATAATAGACCCTAAAACCGATCCTGACGTTTTAAGAAAACCAACTAAATTGAAGAAGAACATTAAAACAAAATTAAATAAAGAAGAAACGAAAGAAAAAAAAGGAAGTGAATCAACTAAAGAATTCAAAGTAAATATCAAAGTATGCAAAAATAATACAGATACAAAACGAAATCGAGAAAAGCTTATTAATAAAAAAAATGAACATAAAAAACAGGTTAAAAAGAATACTAATTATTCGAGTGAACTTCCATTAGTATCATTATGTTCAGAGTATGAAGATATGCAATGTGCTCAAGGTCCTCCTTCTAGTTTCAATAGTCAGAGAATAAGAACAGAGTTTCTGGTACCACCAACTCCACCTGCTTATATGGCGGCATTAGCTAACTTACCGTCTGCATCACTAACTGACAACGACATTATATATGTCTCAACAAAACAGAATGTAAATAACAAAAATCAAGACATTATAGTATTATCCAGTTCGCAAGAATCATCACAATCAAATCAAAGTAGACGCACAATTGCGCTTAAGCAGAAAAAAGCCCTAAGGCCGTCAAAGATAAAAGAAGAAATTCGAACTACATTTGTCGATGTATTTGATAAATATATTGAGCGTAACAAAGAACAATCACCAGATCTATTCAGCAATTGTTCAGACTTACCTATAACTTGCACTCAAGCAAACAAGAACATACCGTTTGATGGTTTCAAAATATTTGGTTCCGAAGTTAAACAGTTACAACAACAAACTGCACTGCTAGATAAGAAGAGAAAAGTGCAATCTCGTTCATGTTTAGATTTACTCGAAAATATGTTCGATCCGAACTTAAAAAAAAATGTTTTAAAAACTCTTGCAACTACCAGAAAGGACACTGCAACACCGCCTATTTTACCCGCACATCCAATTGCAGCAATCACGAATTTACAAAACAAGCAAGAGCTGAATACAATAAAAAATTCTAAAAATAACAAGGCGGCTAAAAAGTCGAATAATATTGTGAATGACGATATATTTGAAATCACCACAAATGATATTTTCGGAAGTACAATGCGGATCACTGCTAATGGTGACGTATCTCCAATTCGTACAAAATCGCCGTCAACACACAATAATAACCATAATAAAATTACAAATTATTTGATTGGTAACACATATTTAACACCAGTCGATGATGAGACAAATATTAATGCTTCAAACAAACGGACTCAAATATTAGGTCCAAATAAAACCAGATCTCCAAAATCAAAAACCACGCAGACTACGCAAACGACTAAGCTGACAAAATGGTTTCATAAAAAAAATTTATCTGATGTCGGCAAAGCTGCTGGTATTAGTACGCGAACTGTCAATCCCATTCAGCCCAAAACACCTTCTTCAATAAGTGTAATCACTACACCAAAAACTAGAACAAAGACGTCGGAAGAGAACATTAAACAATTTAAGAGACGTTCTGAAAATATCAAAGAACCTCGCAGAAGTAAACGTCTGGATTTTACAGTTTAAGTTTAAGTTTATATGTTCAGTTCCAATAGTCCGAAATTTATAAATTATATATAAATTTGCAATCGATGCGATTAAAAAGGTTCCATGTGTTGTATATCTGCTAAAGATTAACTATTGGTGCATATCACCTAACTATTTTTTAATATAATATAATATTTCACTTCAATATAATATTTTAGTTAAAATTTATAAATATCGAGCTTTATGGTTGGAATGAAACCAGTGCGCTTCCATTGTATGAAATATTTTTCAAAGTTATTTTCCAACAATTGGGAATTAAAATTACTACGGGAACTACCCCGTATTTAGGTCGCACGGGCAAGGGCAAGGGCACGGGTATATAAAAGTTTCTGTAGATAAAAGATAAAAAGCATCAACGGAGAGCACATTTTTCGTATTTGTGGCAATGGTCGGCCGAAAAAGACATTGCAGTGTACTTAAATAATATTTAACTGCTATTTTGAAACGTAATAGATAATTCAAAAATTGTAAATTTTTAAACTGATTAGAGTATTTTACAATATTCTATATTTTTAAATTATAATTTATAGATATTAATAAAATTAGTAAATACCATACAAACAAAGACATTATAGTATAAAACTTTAAGTTAAGTACTTATATGTATATGAGTACGTTTTGAATATCTAATGTATTTAATTGAATTATAATTTTAAAATTTTTATTTGCCAAATAATATATTTAACATTTCTTAAAATGTATAAATTTGAATTTGAATTTAATTCTAATGAATAAATGAAAGCAGAATCATCTAAATCGTCTAAATCTTTTGTTGTTTTTTGTTGAAAATCGCTGTGAGATTGTGTATGATCGCTTTCCGTTGATATTCGAGTTCACGTCTGCACGGCACACTTAGGAATGGAGGACACTGGTACTGTATATTATCGATGCAATACGTATCCTTGCCCAGGCTACTGAACTTAAATTCGCTAATAGAACGCACTTGCAAAATAAATAATAAAAGTAAGTAAACAAATTTTTTTTATCTTATTTCTGATATTAAATAAATACTTAAAATTACCCAGATTTTGTAATAATTGTGTATTCAGCAAAATTTAAAACAAAAGTTAGGAAAATAAAACTAAAAGTAGGAACAAATTGAGTATGTAACATAGTTCTGTCGTATATACACTGGCGGATATCACAAGTCGGACAAATAATAAGAATTCAATTAAAGAGGATATTATATCTGCAAGGTATGATTATATATAAATATGGTTATTAGCTATATTACAACATATTTAATCATTTCGTTTATTGTTGTTATTATGGAAGCCTGTGGCGGTCTATATAGCAGACAAAATGAAATGAATCACAAAAATTCAAATAAATGGGTAAGAATATGGTTGAATAACAGAAGTGTGAAATAGAAAGGGAGTGAGCATTTAAAAGCTAAAGCGGTATAAGAATGGATGAGACTTTAATTGAAAATAACCTAGCCACTCCAAAGAGACGGATCTATATATCAGTTTGAGTCTACAATTGATGTGTACATTAGGACATGAAAACAGTGCAGTGACATCATGGAGTGCAGAGTAGCAATTTAGCACCACATAAGGAATTGACGCATTCATGCATGACTAATAAATGTTTAGCACATGTGGAATCTCCTGATCTCAATTTCTTGCTGTACGGGGAACGCGTTACTCTTCCCTGAGGATATTAGGGAAAGGCTTATTGAGAGTTTGGTTGCTATGCAATTCTGGTTTAGAAGTTTTAAGTTGTTTTAAGTTTGTATTTGACCTCACTAATGTTGGCTACATTAGAGAAAGGCGTCGACGGATATATGTATATAGATTAGAGATTATATTCTTATTATCTAATACATTATTCATAAATATATATATATGTATATATATACATATATTTCATATACAAGCTAGGTATTATTTCAAGCTTTGAAATAAGCGCAGCTTTTATCGACTGTGTTATGTGAGTTTGTTGCTTATACATATGTATGTATGTACACATATTAATACTTCTTATACATTTGGGACTAAGGTAGTAACAATCAATGGACCAAAGCTGAACGCTAGCTAGACCCAACGCCGTAGTCTTAGCGAACCTATTAATTCTTTAATTCTAGAAAAATATGTTGTTTTAAAAACGCCAATGTTTTTAGTTTAAATTATTCTGATTTTATATATTATAACTTTTTTTGTACAAAAAAATATTGCATAGAACACCTATAATTAAGCATATAGAAAGAATTTTAAAAATATCTCAAAAAATTGTACAGTAAGAAAAGCTACCTGTAAAGTTTTGGGCTTTACACGCGGTCTGTAAGTAGGTTAGAAGAAGTTTAATTTTTTAGATCTTTTTATCTAATAATTTTAACAAATAAATGTTAATGTATTGTAAATGGTTTCAATGGGCTCCAGCTATTCTCATTACTATCTTGTGCCGGAAAATTTGTATAAAGAATTTGTAAATTTGTTTTATATTTTTAAAAATAATTGTTCATCTATATATACATATATCTAAATTGTTAAGCTCAAGTACTTACAACAGTAAAAGCCTCCAAAGAAACAAGTCTCATGTTCTGAGTCTATTGTAAAAAGTTGTGGTACCACACCAGGCATGGACTTCTTCACTATGTAATCACCTTTACCGGTATTCAACCAGTAAGGCCAATGCGAAAGACGCTCCGTATATATCACAGTATAACGCCAATCATGTGCATGGCCACTATCAGATACGACATGGAAGTTTAAGCTAAAAAACGTTTTAATATTTTATTCTGAAATATTTCATTTATCCATATGTTTTAATTGATATACATATGATTATATATACATATATAGTATGTGTATGTTCTGCAATTAGTCTTCACTATTTTTAGTTCATACTGTATACATACTTTATACATACTATACTTATTTATAAAATAACGATCTTGTTTCATTTCCGCACTTACATTGTTGGGTTTAGCAAACGCATTTTACTGAAATCTGCTACGTACTCCCACACTTCTTCCGGATGCGTATCGCTGATAACAGCATCAATGTTGTACTTATGGAAGTGACTCGAGAAGATAAAGTAAACGACTAGACAGGCAATTCCGGCTATTGAAAGCTTTTTAATATTCCACCGTCGCAAATGCATAGTTCATCAAATATTAACAAATTCAGAGCAATTCAAATGTAAACAAATTGGCAATATATACACTCGTATATTTTAAGTATTTATGTAGATACGAGTAGTTTCAGTTATGCATAAAACAAACCTCGAATACATAAAAAACTCTGAACAACTGTGCGAATAGTCCACACTATTCCAAAAGCAAAATCAAACTAAATATACAAGCCATAAAAAGGAACTTCATAGTCGATAAATTCTTCACATACATTGTGCATATTTTATGCATATGGGTTCCATGTGTGCTGGAGAAACCAAGAAATAAATGCTCTTAAATAATGATCGGTTCAACTCTTTGAGGTCGACAAGAAAATTAATTATTTTATGAGTGTAAAGATACTTTTACTCTCATTCAGTCTTAACTGTGCTACGAACTGTGCTATGAGGTACATAATATCCCATAAGCATTCCAATAAACAGAGAAAGACAACTGAAGAGCTCAACATTTGAATTTTCAAACTTATTTAAACCTGGAGAAAGATTACATTTATTAGTTCCTTGCCTTGAGATGAATGAGTGAGAGCGTAAATTACGTTATTTATAAGTAATGTCGGGTGTAACAATAACGAATAAGATTTGTTAAGAGCAATTACGCAAATTTTCTATTGGATTGCTGATAAAAGTACATTATTTTATTTTATGGTATACCAAATAAATGAATTTCAATTGATAAATAAATAAAACTAAATTTAACATTATAACTGTATTTTTATTTCTGTCAAAAACAACTACGAACGTATATATTTGTTTCTGCGGCTCTCCAATCTATATAGTGATTTGTATTGGCCCGCGATCGCATCTAGTCTGGACAGCCCTGGTTAAGAGTATACCCTATGCAGCGGGATATTTTATCAGCAATTAAATAGCGTGATGGGTGAAAGAAAATAATGTATTTCATCAAATTAGAACATCATCAGGAGGAGTAAAGTTAGACTATTTTCATAAATTAGAAATGGAAATTTCAATAGGCAATTCATAATATATAAATAAATATTAAAAAATAAAGAAAATATAAAATATATGCTTTAAACGTATCAGTAATTAGTTTTGTTTAATAATGCAAACATCTTTTTGGCATTACTTTGTTTATTTACTAGATTCCAAAGTTTAAAGCGTCAATTGGTTTTTTTTATTAGTTCGAGCAACGCGTTTTTTAGGAGTAGTATTTTTGTGTCCATATTCGTTTGAAAATATTTGGTTTGTATATAAATCTGAGTCTTCACCTTTGTAATGACACAAGAGTCATAATTATTAGCGATGGAAATTAAATGGAAATTTCAACAGATAAATATTTTTAAAAAATCATAAAAAAAGAACCGGACAAGATATCGTAATGAAATAAATGTGACAATATTCTTCAGAGTTTCCTCTTTTCTATCATATATAAAAGATAAGGTAAGAAAGGTAAGAAGGTAAGGTAAGAAAGAATCTTATAGAATAGAAGAGTCTTGATCGAATTATTAGCGATGGAAATTAAATGGAAAGTTCAACAGATAAATATTTTTAAAAAATCATAAAAAAAGAACCGGACAACCTATCGTAATGAAATAAATGTGACAATGTTCTTCAGAGTTTCCTCTTTTCTATCATATATAAAAGATGATAGGTAAGAAAGAATCTTATAGAATAGAAGAGTCATGATCGAATTATTAGCGATGGAAATTTCAACAGATAAATATTTTTAAAAAATCATAAGAAAAGAACCGGACAAGCTATCGTAATGAAATAAATGTAGGAATAGTCTTCAGAGTTTCATTGAAAATTATATAGAAGATATTTTGGGAAGGAAAAGATCTTAACAAAATAAATGCAAGCGAAATGGAACACAGGTGGCAACGCTGTGCTGGGTGAATTGATGAAATGATTAAACTTAAGCAGCGCAAATTAACAACAACAAAGTTAACAAACAAGTATTTTTATTACACAATAGATAATAATAATGTTTCGTCCGCTACGTTTGCTATTAGATTTGATCGTTGTGAGTGATTATTTTAGTTAATTGGGGACTGGAGCTGACTCAAGTACGTTGAGACCGGAGTAGAAGCGACGGTTTAACGAATTTGCTGCGACGACTGAATTGTGTTTTTGTTATGATTTTGGAAATTGTTTATTGAGTCGGTAATTATTTGAATTTAGTTGTTTTTTTTTTTGATACAAAATAATGATGACTTGTCCAGTTTAATTGGTCGATACTTTGCACTTATATTACGCTTAAACGTTATTGTTTTTTTTTTTTTACAAAATTACAGATTTTGTTTCATTTTTGAATACGAAAAACTGGCTAGAAATGGCGTTGTTAGGAACTACACGAGTTTTATTTAAAAATGCAGCTCCAACTCGAAAATTAAGTTGTTCCTACTCGAAATTCACTGCCAATGTGCAGCAAGCAGCTAAGCCAGCAGCAAATGCAGTTGAAACGGTAAGTGAAGGCAATGAACTCTTATACGGCATTTTTTTTAAATAAGCAAATAAACCAATTACTTTTTCATAGCCGAAAATCGAGACGATAACCCAGACTTCACCACTGACAGATAAGTTCGGGCGACATCACACTTATTTGCGGATCTCACTGACTGAGCGCTGCAATTTGCGTTGTAAGTAATAAAATTATTATTCCAATTTCTTTTAAGCATAATAATGAATTCGTAGCATGTGCTACCTGACACACATATATGTGTGCACTTGATTTCAAGTCCGTGATAAGATATATGTAAAGCTTGATAAGCAAATAACCAAATAGCTTCGTCACTGTAAATAGCTCAGCACTCAAGCAGTGCCTTATCTGTTACTGAAATAGTTGCATATATGTATATAAAAATAATTTGTACATACTTAACTATAATTATTTATCCTTTGAGTGCTCTTATCTTGTTGTTTAGGTAAGTACTGTATGCCTGCGGAGGGTGTTTCGCTACAACCAAAAACAAACCTATTAACCACTGATGAAATTTATTATTTGGCACGCATATTCGTAGAGCAAGGAGTACGCAAGATACGTTTGACCGGAGGAGAACCGACTGTTCGCAAAGATATTGTCGACATTATTGGTAAGATGGAGAAGAAACACAGTACATGGAATTTATTTAAGTAGCGAGTTCTACACCCATTTTTTTTCAGCAAAAATTAAAGCAATACCAAAACTGGAAAGTGTTGGTATCACTACTAATGCGCTTGTGTTGACGCGCTTGTTGGTGCCCATGCAACGTGCTGGCCTAGATGCTGTTAATATAAGCTTGGACACATTGAAACCACATCGTTTTGAGGAAATCACTAGGCGACGTGGCTGGGAACGCGTCATAGCTGGTATTGATTTGGCAATACAATTGGGTTATAAACCAAAAATAAATTGTGTGTTGATGCGCAATTTTAATGAAGATGAAATCTGTGATTTTGTCGAATTCACTAAGGATCGCAATATCGATGTGCGTTTTATAGAATATATGCCATTTAGTGGAAATAAATGGCACACTGAACGTCTAATATCTTACAGGTATAAAGTGGTGAAATACATCTTATCTAGACCTATATAAATGAAACAAGTGTGTTAAGTGAAGACTATATGCTTAAAATCTCATTGGCTTATATTTTTTGTATAAAATACGATTTACTTTATATTGAGTGCTTGCAATTATTTCAAGTAGAATATATTACACATACATATCTACAAATATAATAGATAATTATTTAAATTAGTATATAATTATATACTCTCAATCTATTTAGTTGAGCAAACTATTAATTATATTTGAGTAGTTTCTGATTTTTCAATTTTTTTTTTTATATATTTTTACAATATACAAATACGAATCATTTATTAATTTTTTCGATAATTAACTTTTTTATTACAATTTAGAGAAACATTGGAACAAATACGTCAAAAATGGCCAGATTTTGCAGCTTTGCCTAATGGTCCAAATGACACGTCTAAAGCGTATCATGTACCTGGTTTTGCGGGCCAAGTTGGGTTTATAACATCAATGACTGAACACTTTTGCGGCACATGCAATCGATTGCGTTTAACAGCAGACGGTAATAAGAAATAAATATATAATTCATATAAAGTTTATTATTCTAATTTCTTTAAAATGTAGGTAATATTAAGGTCTGCTTGTTTGGCAATAAGGAGTTCTCACTACGCGATGCTATTAGAGGAAACTGTTCTGAAGATGACTTAGTTGCTTTGATAGGTGCGGCAGTTAAGCGAAAGAAAAAGCAGCACGCAGGTGTGTTTATTTCATTAAATGATATTAAAGCATCATTGGAAGATTTTGCCATTTTTAAGTTACTCTATTTTATTTTTATGTTTTAGGCATGCTAAACTTATCACAAATGGAAAATCGTCCAATGATACTTATAGGCGGATAGTAGTTTTTGTGTAAGGTCAGATACATTATTTTAATCCATTATTATATTCAAAATTACATTTTCATTGTAGCCAACACCAACACAATTCTACATACAATGTTTAAGAGACATTGTTTACTTTTCGGCTCATGGCATCATGACAACAATTTAATATTAAGTACACTTAGCACGCAAGGTATCACACATAATCGTATATCACCACAAATGAGGAACTATTGCATGCAAAGAGATTCGCAACTGACACACGTCGATGAAACCGGAAAAGCTAAAATGGTTGATGTTTCCAATAAAGATTCGTCTAAGCGTGAAGCTATAGCAAGCGCATCCGTCATTGTCGGCCCACATATAGCGCATTTGATAAAAGAAAATAATATGACCAAAGGTGATGTTTTGAGCGTGGCAGAAATTGCTGGTATACTTGGAGCAAAAAAAACTTCTGAAATTATTCCACTTTGCCATAATATCACATTAACATCTATTAATGTACAAGCAGTACTGAATATGGATAAGTATTGCGTAGATATTACTGCCAGTGTGATCTCTTGTGGGAAAACAGGCGTTGAGATGGAGGCTCTAGCAGCTGTCACTATTGCTGGACTCACAGTGTATGATATGTGCAAGGCAGTATCGCACGATATTACAATAACGGATATACGACTAAGTAGCAAATCTGGTGGCAAACGTAACTTTAAGCGCAAAGATGTTTAAAAAATACATATACCCTTCATTTATGTGTAACTATGTTCGCATTCATATTGTTTGTAAAATTTTACATTATTTATAATATATGAAATTTAAAAAAAATGTTAATTCAAAAAAATGATCGTAATTCATTTACTTACATTAAAAATTAATCACTCGAAATACGAAATAGCTCAATATGCAAAGTATTTATTTGTTAAAAAATATTAAATGACGTTTAAATGACTTTTTGGTTCAATTACCACTGTAAATTTTGCGTAAATAAATATTAGCGCTTTTGTTTTGAAAACAATTTATTTAGAAGTAGATTGGGAAACTAATTTGACACGAGCACATTTCGATTTTCCTGTTTCTTTTCCTCTGTCGACTTCTGTTCCTCAGTAGGCATATGCTCTCCGCGAATACGGATATTATGATCTTCCTTAAACTTATTGATCTGCTGACCTTTTTTTGTAAGATCCTCCATAACAATAGAAATAGTTCTCTCTATGAAGTCTTTGTTTTCAGTTAATTGCGGGAGCACTTCTTTCACTGTACGCTCGCACAATACCCCTCCAATAAGCCGGAAACATTTTCTGTCTGGGTCTACACTCTTCAGGGTATCAATAACTGTTCTGTGAATCAAGGATTTTTGTTGAGGTTATGCTAAATTCATATATTCAATTTAACATGAGTAATACAATTGACTTACTTGTGTTCCTTTAAGTCCATTTCCAGAGTATTTAAGTTATTGATAAGATTTCTTTGCTCATTTCTGAGTTGCTGAAACTCACCCACGATCTTTTCATTTGCCTTAGCATCTTTTGCCTGTTCACTAGCCATTTTAAATTTATTTATTGAACCAGATGCCAGCGGACTCGTAAAAATGCTTTGAAGATTGAAAAATGCCTGAATAAAAGTTTGACAGCCAGAATTAATCAACAGTGTTGCATATGCAATAAAATAAAAATTATATCGAACATATAAAAAATCGTTACAAATTTGGTTACTCTGTTTAATTTGTTTCACTCACAAGTCTGTTGAGTGAGTTCTAAACTATATTGTGAAGGATAAATTTCTCGTAACATTATATGAAATTACATTTTGATAAGAATCCATAACGTCAACGAACGTATAATTTTAATATATCAAATCGAATAGGAAACGGATTCTTTAAGACTGTATACAATGGTAAAATCTATAAAGCATTTATAACTTCAACAACACCAAACAAAAATTCGAAGTTAAATTAAATGATAAAATAAAAGACTTTTTATAATAAAGAAAGCAAAATTTTATTATTCCGATTTAATATCATAAACTATGGTTTTGTTATTTTTATTGTTTACTATATATTATAGTTAGATTTCGTAAGGACGTTAACAGTCTTATGATGAATTAACTACCACAATAATAGTACTCCATAAATCTCAATACCATTCAGATCCCATAAATTTCTATATAATACTTTATCTGGTAATAATGTTAGAATCAATAACAGCTGATGTGTTTTTATATCCAAATACTGATAAATTGAACATAACATACCTGCTGTTACGTTTTGACGTAATCATGCTGTCAGCTGATTTAGAAAGATAGTCACAATAAAAACACATTTTTCTAGTATTAATTGCAGAATAGATTTATAATTTTCGTTGACATAAATTGATAAAGATATAAACAAAAATCCGGGAAACAGATTGTGTAAAGCTTGATAACAAAGACTGACAATAGTAAAAACCAAATATTTACAACTAATATTCCCAATCCTTCACAATTGCTAGTCTAGTCATGTGCACCGGCTCCTCGAGCAATGCGGCCGCTGATTCATCGGGTAAACAAGGTACATTCATAACTTGATTGTTGATTGTGTATTTAAAATGCGGTTGAATTCTTATATTTATTTATTTTAAATGGAATTTACAGAGGAATCATCAAGTACAAATTCAACTACTGAACAACATCAGGACGCTATGGTTCCAAAAGAGGACATTATCGACTTGAGCGAATACGGTGTTAACTTTAAGATTTTAGAAAGGAACTCACAAGTAGCAGAGTTGTTGACCATTATAAGGGACAAGTTGGTATAATACAAATGCGGGTTTTCAATCACCTAACATTTTTTTTATTCAAGAAATACAACAAGGAGTGATTTTAAATTTTATGCAGATCGACTTATTCGTTTGGTCATCGAAGAATCTTTAAATCAGTTGCCATATTCTGACTGTTGCGTTGAGACACCTACAGGCGCTATATATGAAGGTCTTAAATATCGTTCAGGCAATTGTGGCGTATCCATTATACGTTCTGGCGAAGCAATGGAGCAAGGTTTATTTTAATTAAATAGTTTTTTCGCATATAAAACTTATCTAAATTAGACACTTTTTAATTGCAGGGCTACGAGATTGTTGTCGCTCAATTAGAATTGGAAAAATACTTGTTGAATCCGATGCAGATACGCATGTCGCACGTGTTGTTTATGCACGATTTCCTGATGATATAGCACGACGGCAAGTGCTGCTAATGTATCCTATTATGTCTACTGGAAACACAGTTTTACAAGTATACATTTCATTAAATTATATTGATTTGTATTAGTATTAAGTTGTTAATCTTTCAGGCTGTTAACGTTTTGAAAGAACATGGAGTTCGGGAAAGTTCTATTATTCTATCTAATTTATTTTGCACTCCAGTGGCAGCGAAAACTGTAGTTGGTGCTTTTCCAAGGTTACAGATTCTCACATCTGAGCTACATTCGGTCGCACCTAATCATTTTGGGCAAAAATATTTTGGCACTGATTAAGTTATTGCTTGTCGAAAAAGGACACTGTTTTTAAGAATATTTTATGTGACAACTTTTTATGTTAAGCAGCATGTTCTAGAGTACTTAATTTGAAAGGAGTATTTCCAAGTGGAGGTGGAAGTATTTCATCGCGTTATTATCTCATTACTCATTGTTTGAATATTATTTAGAACAAATGATCAATAGATAGAGGCGAACAGTTGGTTACAAAACGTACTTTAAACACACTACAAATTAAAGCTTTTATATGCATTATTAATTTTATTATATTTTTTTAAGAATCTGATTATATCAACATTTTTATTGGTGATTTCATGAATGATAGAATATTCTGCCCTTCCTGGGAAATCTGTTATCATTTGTGAAAACAAGCAAGTTGGAAAGCACCTTCCTTAATTGTTTCGAAATATTTCTTACAACTAAATTTGTAAATAGACAAAAATTTAATATTTTATTTACATATGCATTATATTTACTATTATTATTTATTTATTGTATCTGCATGTTTTATATACACATGCTCTATTTTAAATTCTATTTAAATAAAATTTACTTGAATGGCTTATGCTGGGTTGTGTTGCACTATTTGTTAGAAGTCTACATTTCTTGGTGTATTTGGAGGTGAACATTCGAGAATATGGAAGAACCCTGCAAAGGCGCAATCAGACATATTAATTAGCGTTTAAAGAACAATATGGATAGACAAACGGGTGGGGTGACTATCATTGTAATCAAAAATGTTGAATCACAATGACAGTAACTAACTACTACAATAACTAGTGTTTTAACATGTGTTGGGCATTAAAGTCTAGAAGGTGTTTAACATAATATATTTAATAATGGACACATATTTTCCACTGTTACGATTGCTAATTGGATGCCGCATCTATGTATTTACAAACAAGTTTAGTGATGGAATTGACAGTACAAACCCACCGCTATAACTTACGATTATAGAACTTTGTCAGTGATTTAAACAACATATTGATTGAAGAAACAAGAAATAATTTTTATATATGCAACACTTAGAGAGAAACAACCACTCATATTTCTTGGTATATTCTTCAGACTGCAATATATAAATATATCTTACCATGTTAGCACTGCAACACCTATTATACACAAGTTTTTCAATGATTATTAATTCTGCATCTTTATTGTAAAAAATATCGTTACTTAGAATTTATTTATTAATTAAATTATTTCAGTTTTTAACAAATTATAAAGAAAAAACAATGTGTGCTTAAGTAATAAAAAAAATATAAAGTAAAGTTTATAAATAGTAAATAAATATAAAATAGGCGTTTAAGATCAAAAAGTTTTAGGTGGTCATCTTGTAGTTGACAACAGTGTCCACTTTGTGTATGCCCGTCGAAAATGAACGTAGTTGAACCACTTGCGAGTTCTGTATAACAGCAGCATCGGTTTCTTTCCATTTTTCGGGCGTATCACAGGTTTTATTTATGTATATAAGAACATCAAAAGTGCAAATTGCTTCAATTAAAGGCAAGTAGCTAACTGTAGCTGATATTTGACGCATTACATCTCGAATTTCATTTTGTATACGCTTCATATCCTTAGTACAAGCAATTTTCGTTGCGTCGCCACCTTCGCACTCTACGTTAGTAGCGTCCAACTGCATTTTGAAGTCCCAACATTCAAGCACTTCTTTGGTGTGCGCATTTGTAATAATCATAGATATCTTTTCTATTAGGTCCTTAGCAAGCCACTCTAGGAATGAATAGTTTTGTATTAAACTAAATGGCAAATAATACGGGTAACTATACCTTCTGTTTGACGAAGCACATTAACTAAAAATTCTTGAATTTTGGGATCTGTCGACATTAATATTGTCAATCCATATTGTTGAGCATTTTCAAATGATTCAGCGGGATATATACCACGTTGAAATAATATAGAATTAATGCCATATTCTGAAAAGTTTAAAATAAATTTTGGCATTTCATTACTACAATTAGTAGCGACTTACTCAAATATTCCACAATAATTTGGGCGGATCCTTTTAATGTAATTTTATTAGATTGAGATGTAGCCATTATTTTTTATAGAGAAGTTTGTTTATAATTATATATAAAAACCAACTAAAAAAAGCCGTTTAACAGAAAAAACACAAGTCCACAGAAATGTTCGCTCGTTCTCATTTGCCGCTAATTCCGTTGACAGTTCGTTTCAAATAAGCAAATGCCAGTACAGCGACCTCTTGCTGTTATCATAGGAAAGTAAATTTTGCACACAAGTCACAATAATTACTGTTCATATTTAAATGCTATTCACAATTAAATGTGCTCTTAATTATGACAATGGATTTATTCTTCTTAAATATATCATTGTATGTGGAATTGTTAGTGTGTATTTTATTTTTTGAATATTATTTATTTTATATTAGGGCATTTTACATGATACTTGTTAGAGAATTTGCTCATTCACTAACCGCTTAAAAATCTTGGTTTGATGTAGAGGATAAGAATTAAATAGGTATATTCTTTTGACATGAAAGCTCTAATTCAGTGCATATCCAGACCAGATGCGATCGGGAGCCAATACAAATCACTATACACATTGGAGGGCCGCAGAAACAAATACATACGTTTTCGACAAAAATAAAAATACGGTCATAATTTTAAATTTAGTTTTATAAATTTACCAATTTAAATTCAAATATTTAATATATATACCATAAATATAAAATAATGCAGTTTTACCAGTATACCAAAAGAAAATTGTGGTACATTAAAAACACGTCGCTGGCCGCATTTGGTCCGTGAGTGATGCTTTGGACAGCTTTGCTCAGCGGATTACACCTAAAAATATGGTTCGAGTTGATTTATAGCCTACGTAAATGGTGGAAATGCCTGGTATAAATTGCATTCAGAATAGCTCTTTAATAACACTCGCCATCTATTGCAGTGGACTCTAAGCAACAATTTGTTAAATGAATTCCTGGAATTATTTAACGAATTAAGAATTTAATTACATGGTTTAGAACTAAGTCGATATTCATAAATTTGCAAAATAACTCGTAAGTAATATACCCTTTTCCGATTTGACGTCACTTTATGTGAGAGCTCTCAAAGTAAAAATTGCTTTCCGCATACCCCAATAGATATTATTTATTACCATTGCACATCATAAAAAATATAAAAATTAATATAATTAAAAACAGTTTTTCTTAAAAGCAGTATTTATTAAGCCACAAATATTGCGATTTAATTTGTTTCATCATTACTATTTTATATATATCAGCATATTTAAGTAATCGTATTTTAGAGATTTAATTTTAGTAACAAAGACACATTTTTACAAATATATATCTTTCCATTTAAACTTAGAATTTAAGTCGTGTGGTATATAAAAAACTACGATGATTCAAATTTAAGTTAATCCTCTTTGGCGGTGTGTCTTTTTGTTTAAATATATTGTCTTATGTTTAAATATAATGTCTTTTAACATATAAAAATGTATTTTCGAGTGGAATTATTATAATCGACTTAAATAATAATAATAAAATGTTTTATATTTATATATATACTATCTAAATATAGAAATTAACTTTTGATTATCATATAATAACTTTTATCCAGTTTAAAGTTACTTCCCATATGCATTAGGATCGTCCGCGATGTAGCCAACTTTGAACGTTGAATCTAGGATATATAAAGAAGTAATGTATAATGAAGACATGAAAACATTTTTTAACATTTTTTTTACAATTAAAAATCTAGTTATTTGTTAGAAATAAAGACAATTAAACATATGGATATAATTTTAAAAATTCCGGTTAGAAGTTAAAAGTTTTTGAAAAACGTTAAAAATACTTTGGTTATTAACTTTACAAATATACTGTAATCCATACAAAATATTTTAAACACTTCATTAATTATAAGTGTAAACACATTATAACTTTAATTAATTTCGTACAATATGAGGCAATATTATTCCGAGTGCTGTGTAACGATTACAAAATAAAACCTTTTTACTTGAGTTTTTTCTAAATATTGATATTTTAAAATGGTAGAATCAATATATTTTTATATATAAAATCATTTGAAAACTTATTTCGATGTGATAGAATGAGACATTGCAATATCAAATCTAAATAATCAATAGTTATTATGAATATGCCTGAAGTACCTAAAAAGGAAAGTAACGTAATTTCGTAGGAATTAAAGGGCGATCTCAATCGAGTAAATTAGGACGTGTGCGAGTTAGGCTAAGTTGCGTTCTAAATGAGGGAAATTCTAAGTTGTGCCGATAATGTAGTCATGTGTCCCATTTGGTTAAGCATCAACTTAGCCTAACTCGCACACGTCCTTAGTGCGTTGTGATGGATTCGTGTTTCATTAGTGAGGAAATGGTCTGGTGTGATATCGAACAAAGTAACTGATTTCTTCGAAAACTACATATTTTTGCGTTTTTGTAATCAAAGAGTTGTCTAGAGGATCGTGTAGTAGTTGGTAATTTGCCATTTAAAACAAAATGTATTTAAAACAATTCCATTTCAACTATAGCTCATTTCAATGAAATTATATAGATCAAATTCTCCAACCAATTCTCCACTGAAGTAGTTACCACACAGTTTCCATGGCATACATAAATTGAGGTTTGGGTATTGTCTTGAAAACGAAAGGTGACTTTGTTAAGTTAACGAATATACAGAAACCTTTTCGTTGAAATTAAGGATATTATTTATTTATTTAATATTTGACAAAAATCTATTAGCAGACCAGTAACGTCATATTTACTAGTGATTTTTTTCTTTTGTAAGACTTTTGTAAGATAAAAAATAAAAGCTAATCTCAGAATGGTTACAGGCTTCTCGGTGAGGTATGCAGATCTTAGTCTGTTAAAGTCAATTATTGCTTAGTTTGATAAAGTGATATATAATAATCCAGTCAAGTCGTAGAGAGGGGTTATCAAGAAACCTCGCAGTTAATAGAGAGTAAGTACACTGACTCAACTAGCCTCAATATAATAACCAAATGCTTAAAACAATTTTTATGCTGTTTGACCTATGCACCTTGTATTTTCAATCTCAGCTCTCTTCTTAGAGAAGAAGAGAAATAAGTTGGAAAGAAGTTGGTGGTTTTAATGGGTTAAATCTTCTTTGTCAAAAGAAGGCATTGTGAGTCAGTTTTATTAATAATACTTTGTTTTAATCTCAAGATCTCTACTAATGAAATTAAATATTGCTAAACGAATGTATAACATTTGTTCTTAGTCGCAGAGACTAATTTTTCTAACGCAGAGACGTCTCTTCAAATCATTTACATTATGTAAAAATTATTTTAGTATAACAATCTCACAACATATATAACATATAATTATTTTTATTATTTTTATATTTACATATATAACGAATATAATGAATTTGTTTTCACTTTAACGAATTAACAAAAGTTACGAAAACAATGACAAAATTACAAAATTTGGAAAAATGAAAATTAATTTATAAAATAATTTATTATAAAAATATGAAAAACTATATATTTATATATATATATATATAAATAAAATCTTACCTTATGCAGCATAAATTATAAGAAGCTTCGAAATTTTGAAATAAAATAAATAACACGTAAATTTTAAAATTTTAGAAATTATGTTTTGTTTTAATTTTTATTGTAATTTCTTTGTTGTCGCTTGTTTTGAAATCAATTATATATAAATTTAAATTTAGAATTAAATTAATTAAACGACATAGTTTAAAAATGAAACATATAATTACAGATTGATAGTTACATAAATTTAAAAACTGAAAATAAATTATAAACAAAGTATTTTACAAGTAAAAGGCGATATCATTAAAATTATAAATAAAATATTTATATTACTTTTAGTAGCAAATTTTTAATTTTTAATTTTTATTTTTAATTTTTAATTTTTCATTAAAATTATGACTTAAATAATATTTGCGTAAATATAATGTTAAAATATTTTATGTATATGTATGTATAGTAAGTGCGTGTATGTATTATATATAAATTAAAAAATAAATTTAAATATTTAAATGATTGCGAATTAATTTACAAACATTTTATATTAATTACATTTTTGGTATAATTTATTTAATTTTAATATATAAATAATTGAAAAATTTAATAAATATATTTTTTCATTGAATTTGATTTTATATATATTCTTTTATATTGTGTTTATGTTAAGTCTTAATTTCAATTTGCTTTTATATTAAATTAGAAAACTTATAATAATTGATAGCGCACGTTGTTTTTTATTGAAATAATAAATATTTGATCATTAAATAATTGATTTTTTAATAATTAATAATATTTTTATTAGTCATTATTCAGTTTAATTATGATGTTTTATATATTGTGAGGCGTTATTGGCTAATTACTAAATAATTATTTACAAATAATTACATTTTTATTTTTGTATATTATATATAAATTATTATACTTTTATTATAAAATAAAATATAAAATATAAAATATAAAATTTTTCGAACTAAAAAATTATTCTTTTTTTAAATTTATGCATTTAAAATAAAAATTAAAAAATTCGTAAAAAATACTGTCGTGCAATTGGCAGTAGCATAAATTTACATATAAATTTTAAAATAATTTTTAATTTATATATAAAATAAATTAAATTATTTATACAAAAAAAATGTAACATTTATAATATTACACTACTGCCCTCTTTTTTGTTGTTTTTGTAATTTTCTGTTTACAAATTAAATAAAAATAAATTAATTTAATTAAAATTAAATAAAATTTAAAAAATAAAAAACAATTAATGGAAAAAATAGTAACAATTGTGCAACAATACATTTATAATAGATATATTAAACTATTAATAACGGTATATATTTGGCGGTAGATTGCAACAAAAAATCTGTGAAAAAAAAATTATTAAAACTGTGATTAATTTACGGAATTTTAAAAGTTTCTAAAATATTTTATTTAATTCGGTTTTTTTTAAAAAATTATAATTTTAATAAGTGTAAAAGTAAAAGTGTGTAAAAGTGCCACACAAAAAAAAAATTCTATGAGATAATAAAGTTAACCAAAGAAATTAGCAAAAACCCATAAAATTTAAAAATTTATTAAGTGCTTATGTTTATTTTTTAATTTTTAATTTTTAATAGCAAAATCATTAAATTACATCCACCAGGAAAATTAATTAAAATTATTCAATATATAAAAACAAAGTCAATCATCTACAGCCAAGTGTGTTAATAAAATAAATTTCAAATAAAATATAAAATATTTATTCGAAAATATTAAAAATATCTCAAATCAAAAATTTGTTATTGTTACTATTTTTTTATTTAAAACGAAATTATAATTAATAATTAAGTCATAAACTACAAAAATACAAAACAATTAAAATTATGCATATAGGGGAGAGAGGGTAGGTAAAGCAAAAGATTTAAAGAAGCATAAAAATTAATATAATTAATTAATAAGTTCAAAAACCTGCACAAAATTAATAATTAATTATTAAAATTTAATTAAAATCATGAACAAAAACTTTCTTAAATGTCCAACTAAATTAAAAACATTTTTAAATAACAATATATCGGAGTGAGTGTGTTATACATATATATATATATATATATATTATATACTTATCTAAGAACGTAAAGATGCTTAATTTAAGCAAAATCAACTTTAAAATAATTTTGCCTAATTTATGATTATTTTTCAAAATATTATCAACTTTTTGTTTTTGTTTAAAGTCAAATTGGCACAATCCTTCAACATGTGGTTCGACATTGCAATATATATATATATATATATATATACAACCTTATGTATACATATAATATATATGAACCCATTACGAAATTTTATCATAATTGAAGTGGAAAGAGATTAAATATTTCGTAGACTATCGGTAGTATTCAGCAGAAATCTAATGCATCTTTAGTACTTTATATATGTAAACAAATACATATATATATATATATATATATAATGAATAGTATAAATGCTAATCGTTTTCGAATATTTCGAATATATCCGATTATGAGTATATAGTTCGAATAGTCTGAACTGTTCGAACATCCGAATCCTCGGAAGTAACCAAATATCGGAATAATTTTACAACAAATAGTTTGAGTACCTAAATACGAGTATCTAGGATTATTCTAATCTGTTTGAAGGATACTGATCCATTAATTTCATACATATAGGTATATGGATCGGAAGTGTTCTTAAGAATATAATCGATATAAAGAATGAATGTGATTATATTTTAGATTTACATGAATATTGTGTATGATTTGTATAAATGCTGTTCCTTCCTTATATTTAAATTATTTTGTTAGGAACAAATATTTAATATTGTAAAATGTGAGATGTGCATGAGATTCTTCATTAAACTTTTATTGTATTTATTTATACATTTTATGTATCAGAAAGTTCTTCGTATAGAGTTTATAAAGTTTTACTACTTTTGCCATTGCAGTCTTCAAGTTATTTGAGATTTCTTATTGATGGCAATGTATGAATAAACATATACCTAGTGTTGTCTTGTATATAGTGTGTATAGGATAGTGTTAAGTTAACGACTTTTATAGTGAGTTATAGTCAAGGGATCGCTAAAGATCCAAGGGATTGTGTGTGGCATTGTCAACAAATTTAAACAATAGTCAAAACTAAATAAGTATTTGTTGCAGCTTAGATGTTGCAGCCGCTTTTGTTTGAGCACACTGCGATCGCTAATAGAGTTTATTATGGAGCTATCATTCTGCTGCACATATATCGTAGCAAAAGGTGGTTAAAATTCAGACCAGCTTATAAGATTCTTAGAATTTATATAGGTATAATATATGCAAGATAGAATATATGCTAGATAGAACTTTAAAGTACTACATTTGAAAAAGCGAGAAAAGGGCGTTGTGAACTCATGTGTATTCTTTTTAATTTGGATGGAATTTTGTAATCAGCTACCTTTTGATAGCTGTTTGTAATAAGCGTTTTAATATGTGTGTGTGCGAGAGTACATATGTATATGTGTATATGTGCGAGTGAGAGAGCCTCTTATATTGTTTTCTTTTATTGTAATGTTATACAATACAATAAATAATAGTTAATTTCATTGCGAAATAAATAATTATTATATAAACTGTAAATAATATATAGCTAATATTGTATAAAAAGTGAGCAAATAGTAAAAAAAAACAACAACAAAAGAGGAGCAATAATGATATATGATTTTTAAAATAAATAAATTAATTGATAATCAGACTAAACTAATAAATTATTAAATAAATAACTAAATAAATAAATAAATAAAAGGGAAATCAATTTTGTTCAACTATGTTCATATGTATGTAGATGTGTATATCGAAGTATATGTAAACATACATATAAATATATATATATATAATATAAATACATACATATATATATATATATATTTAAACATATAGTATATATACATTAATGTGTATTTTGCTTAACTTATGGAGATAAAGCAAAAGGACTTAATGTTAATTAAATGTAGAGAAAAAGTAAGGAGAAAGGAGCATTACCATTAAAATAAACCTTCTATAGCACCCTTTGTTTTTTTTCTTTAACTACGTTAAAAATTATACATAAATTTTTTTTTATATTTTGCACATATCAAATATTTAATTTTAATTTTAATTTTAATTTAAAACTATTAACAAAAATTGAAAGTTCTTTATTTCTATAAAATATATTTTTTTTATTGGAATGTGTTGAATTTTTGTTTTTATTTTTATTTGAAATAATCGCGTGAAGCTTTTTTCTGCCAATTTCTCTTTTTTAAAAATGTTAGTAAAATTAATTATTTTACACTGTATACCTTGGACATTTGTACTGTTTTTATATATTTTTGTTTTTGTTTTTGTTTTTGTATTTGTAATTTATTTACTATAATAATTAATTTTTTTTGTTCGTTTTTTCGCTTTGTTAATTGTTAAAAACTATTTTTGGCTTTACGTTCGGTATTTTATACTGACTTCTTGACTTTTTCCGTTCATTTCTATTTCTTTCGTATTGCTTGAGTTCTTTTCTTGTTATTTCATTTTTGGTTTAATTTTTTTTGTTTTGTTTTAATATTTTGTAATTGGATTTTGCACTGTTTTTAGATACTATATAACAAAACAATCGATGCTATAGACAAGCCTATTTTAGCAATAATAACTTCCGAAATACTTTTTCTCGCCACATTCTTGCTCATGACTGTACATACTGGGTGGCATGTTGTTGACTTCCTTTCGGTCGCATCGTTCACCAATGAAGCCTACAGGACATCTGAAAAAGAAATAAAAAATAACACCATTAAATAAGAATAAATTGGGGTATATAAGAATGAGCGCTATAACACATAGTTTTGCTAAGATTCAGGAATCTATAAACAAAATTGAGAAAAAACGAAAAGTTCCTTGATTATTACTAAATATCGCTAAATTAATATCGCTTAATATCAACAAACATTGCATATACCTTTGATTTCTGCTATTTAGAGTTCTCAAACCATATAGGTAGGTGAGGGCGTATACGAAACACAAACAAAAACAGTTTAACAAAAGCTTAGATAACTTTTGACAATTTTAAGAAAATGTGGACATCCTTGATCCTTGACTTGATACGAAAATATACTATCAAAAATATCAGAAAACCTATTTTCAAACCTATCTTTTTTGTGGCAATCAGAACTGTAATATGAACATCATATATAACTATTATTAACCTTAAATAATAAAAAAGTGATTGGCTTTAGAAAGATAATTTTGTTGACCAAATGAGATCAGGAATCTAGAATAAAGAAACAATGTTAGATTTGTGAAGAGCCTTAATATATCAAGATTAGTTTAGATGACTCCCCAGGCATAGGATAAAGAAGTTTACAGTATATCATTGCTCCTTTTAACAATAAGCGATTAGCTTTAGATTGAGTTTAACGAAAATATTGTTATTACCAAATAAGATCAATAATCTATATTCTATATATATAATTTATAAAGAGCTTTATATATACTGCTTAGTTCAGGTAACTTTTCACGCGTAGGACAACGTTTTCATAGATTGTCATGAATTATTTTAATAATATATAAGCGATAGCTAAATAGTTTCAAATAAAGTTCAATGGAATTAATTTTGTTGCGTTCCTGTGCTTCTTATAGGAATTTAAAGTAATCAATATATACTGTAGCAAGTAATTATAATTACCAATACTTAGAGGTACCCTACTATAAAAATCAAAGGAAGATAACTGGAAGATAAGCAATTTAATTATAACGCCAAAGCTTTAAAATCTGGATCCCATGAAGAATTTTTTGAACATATTGTGAAATATTATATTGCATCTATGAAATCGTGAATAAAAGTGCAAAATACTATGATCCTATGCGTAAGTGAAAATGAACATTATTTTTAATCTTTATACTCAAAGAACAAGTATTTTTATTACTTTTGCATTGGTTCATACCAATCGAGTGAAGCTTTTATATAGCGTCGATTATATTATACTTGACCTATCTGTACTACTATTACTTTCCGGCAGATATTCTTTAAAATATTGTATTTCATAAAATTTTATTGCGATTATAACAATTACACGATTTAAATGCCTGGTACTTTATGCAATTTACAATGCTATTAATGAATGGTCAGTGGATCAGGTAGATTTGATTAATAGAACGAGTTACATATTGAAGTTTGTTTGCTTAGAAAATGAATAAAAAACATTTCTTAGATTATTCGTAAATACAATGCGACAGTTCAAAGAACTTCATTTTCATAACCAAAAAATTTCAAAACCATTTAAAAATATTTTGATAAGCAAAATTGGGGCCAAGGTCCTATTTGCTGAGCACTTATAGATATCCATTATTAAAAGAAAACTGTGGGTGAAGAAAAAAGTGTCAGCATGTGTTTTCATCTCTTTTTAACTTATGAAGCATCTTAAGTAAAATGTAGTCAAACCATTCAGAATAATATTCGTACTTATGGAAAATAGCTTCTATTTTAAATATCGGTAATTGCCTTTAACGAAAGAAGAATTTTCAATTTGGATGATTTTTCCCTCAACATATGAGTATACTGAAACCAGAGCTGAAGGTAAGCTTGGCAATCTGAATATTATCTTTCAGCGCTACAATTTATTAAAATGAAAAACAGACACAGACGAATGTGTCTATTGAACTGTCTGCCATTGTATTTTTATATGTACTTATATTTGTCTGCCGCTATCGTTTCCCCGTTTTCAGTTAGTCACTGAAAAGGAAGAGCGAAACAGGATGAAATGTTTAATATTCAACTTGGCTCTGCCCAGGAAAAATTCTATTATTTTGTGGTATTTCTCTTCAAAAATTTTATTTTCTGAGATCGAGCACTGCACGACATTAAATTCAATTGCCACTACCTTACGGGAATATTTATTTCATTGTTTTACGCCTTTGGCCCCTTAAGAAAAAAAAACCCACGAAAATACTTTGCTTTTTCCTTTTCATTTCTTATAAATTTGGAAATTTTCTGATTTCTTAAAGCAAATAAATAAATTTCATTTCAATATACAAGAAAGAAAATAATTATTCCTTCTCGCCCCTTCCTAACCCTTTCCGACAACAATTCGAAATGTTTACATCTCGTTCTGCTCGTTCCCATTGCAGCGCAGTTAATTTATTTTTTATTTGTGATATGCGTATTTGTATATTTTTCTTTACCTTTTCCAAATTGTATAAAATGGGAAATTATATTTTAAATATTTTAATTTCCCATTTACAATTCATAAATAAATGTTCAATATATGCGTTTTCTCATCAAAGCAAACAGTAGCTACTCAAAGAGCAGATAATAATATTACAGATGATATTAGACATAATGGATGTGTCAACTCAACTAGAAGTACCCCACTTTCAATATAAAGAAAATGATTTAACTGATCAAGAGATTTTTGAAATACACTTGTTCTGACAAAAAAGTAAAGTCTCTGTAATCTAGGATTTTATTGCTCAAAGAAAATATTGTGATGTAAATACAATACCAGAGCACAACAGACTTTAAGGCATTCATTAAATGCAGAATTGAGTGATTTAACTTTATCTTCCTATTGGAAGATTGGGTTGGGGCAAAAATATTTACAGTTTTTTTTTGTAAATGACATTTTTTTATTTTAAAAAATTTTTGTAATCCCAACATAACCCATTTCATTTCTATCGAGCTATAGATTGTGTACATCAAAGATTTTATCTTTAAAAAATAAAACATACTTCTTGCTCTTATTAGGAATTTATAACTTATATTGGGTTGGAAGCATTATAGTTGTAATAATTTCACAAGTACATCACTTTATTTACCATTCATGAGTTTAGTTCCATATAAGTATCTATATGTAAGTATATATATAAAAGTATATGTAAAAATATTATAATAATCGTTACGTATATGTATATAAAATATTCATGTTGATTATTTCGAATTGGTTATTTATAAGCTTAATGTTATATATATCTTATTGTTATATATTACTCAGTAGTAAAATAATTAACTTACATGCAGGAATAGGAACCAATATCAGAGAAGAATTTACACGTTCCACCATTAAAACAAAACTCTGAGGCCTCATCAGGACAGTTGTTACCAGTGCCGTCTAAAGCTGGGCTATCATAACGAGCGACTGTAAATAAAATTTAGTAGAATAATAAATAGAATTGTTAAATAATAGGAAAAATTATTATATGAGTTTTGAGTTTTTATACGAATATGTGTCACCTGTAACGAACTACAAAAAGGGAGAAGAGGAATAATACTTTTTAAAAATGTTAAAATTTTTGCTTGAGACACATATGTAATTTCTTATTTACATGTTTATTTCGCCACTGTAAATTACTGTTACTTTTCAAAAGATAACTAAATATTTTTTATATTTCTAAAATATTACTACAAGATATAAATTGTTTTTAAATTGATTTTAATACTGTTTTGTTGTTAGGTACTCACTTGAACCCTATAACATCACCTCTTAAGAATAAATATGGAAGATACAATACCATTCCAGTAATCAAGAGAGAGAGAGATTAGAGCTAGAGACTAGGTTTATCTAACCCATAAATCGGTGTTAGATTTTAATACTTAAAAAGCTATATTGCCATTGATACATTTTATACTGGTTTTGGTGATGTAAGCAAGCATATATCTGAAATAATGCTTACGAGGTTGGAGTGAAGTGGTTTAATATAATAGAGAAAATGATACTTGACTCTTCCATCACTTAATTACAAATAGCAAAGAAAAAAATTCTTAAAGAAAACATAAACAAAGATAAGAGCAGTGGAAGGATCCATATTACGACTAGATCTTTTATAATAATATCTTACAGGTCGAGATGCCTAATGCTGTATTTGTTGCATATTAAGTAGAAAACTGAACATGGTTTACAAGCGGACACCCATATAATAGCGATCATTTTGCTACCAATAAGCTTTATGATGACGGAAATATAATTGTGAAAATACGTATATACTGAAGATCTGATATACGGATATGACTCGGTGGAAGAAGTAGTAATACAAGAGTATCATTTATGGAAAAGAGGAAACTATTAAGGACAACGCTTCTTTATGGAATTTATGCATTTGTATATAATTTTTACATTTATTATCATTTTTAACTTTTCATATATTTTAAAATCTGCTAGAGTGTAGAATTTCATTAAAACCGCTTGTTCATTCAATTAAAATTTCTATACTAATACTTAACTACCGTGCCGATATTAAAGTTTCTTTAAGAACAGTTTTCAGGACGTCTATTACAAGTAACAGTATTTCTGGGTATGTTCTTCTGGCTTCAAGCATTTCTTATCTATTGAATGTGTCTTCAATATTGGTGTGACATGAAAGTGTGAGGCTTGTTGTAAGTATAAGAGCTTAAAATAGACAATTGACATTGATAATGACGCTATTTAAACTATTTGGTATGAATATATTTTGAAGTGTATCTCTCTCTGTCTCTTATCCTTATCTACCAGTGGAGCAGTGGGCCTCTACCATTTTTTTATATCGTATTCGGTTATTTGATTCACGGCATATGTCACTCCAGGAATAGTTCGCTTCTCTTAGTTCTTGTTCAATTGTTCTTCTCCAAGTTTTACCCGGCGTTCCAGGTCGACGACTGCCTTGAGGGTTACATCTCAGAACTTGACGAGCAATGTGTCCATTGGGTCTGCGTAGATTGTGGCCTACCCAGCGCCATTTTGAAGTGTTTGGTTTTACACTAATCTGTGCCAGTAGATTAGTTAGTGTTACTTTTCTATTATAGAGTTTGGATGACACTTCAATTAAGACGTTGCCGGTTAATATGTTAATAATTGGAGCGATATGTTAATGTTAAAATTGTTTCATTTTGATCATGCTAAACTTGGTAGTTGCCAACACTTAGCATGGAATAATGGTTTCGTAAATATGTGACTGTTTTAAATATATGTTAGTATACTTCGACATCTACGAAAACTATTGTTCGCTATGTTGGTGTTATGCATCATACAATTTTGGTGCTTTTTGCATTAAAGTCTCAGTTTGGCTTATATCACAATTCCAATCCCATGTAAGAGGATTTATGTTTTAGTTTTAGTGAAATCAGCTTGTTATCTACTGATAAAATACTTCTGTGGAATAATACTACTTTTGCTGTTTGAAAAAAATATCGCTTTAGTTCTTGGGTTTGCTTTCCATACAACATTGCCAAATTTAAAACCTCTATACAGACACGTTTACTTGGTACAGTATGTGCTTATGTTGCTATATACATTTGTATATATGATTAAGGGGGATGATAGTGACACAAAATTTTTCTATATAAACTATCCAAATCTGTACTTGACCAAGAAAGACGTTATATGTTAACGAAGTTTAATCTAAATTATATATTTAATATAAATACTTTAGCATATGAAGTAGCGAGTAAGCGTAGTAATTAAATAGCCTTTTCATAAGATAGACAACATAATTGACTGACCTAGGAAGACTATACGATTGCTTCTACGCATTTCAACGATATTGATGCGATATTCAAATAACGATATTATTTCGATTTTTAATTAATTATTTATAAAATTTCGAAAATTAATACTTTTTAGTTCATTCGTATCAGTAGAACTGAGGAAGTTATAATTCTTAACCAATAAATTGATACTGCTACGATTAGGAGTATCTTCCGGTGATTTATAAACAATTTTGATTTATTTTTATGAATCTGAATTCTTCTTCTTACCTCCTAATAGATAAGTTGAAGAATTCAAAACGTATAATGTCTATATTCCAAATTTTCTAAACTAAATAAGGCATTTATTCGTAAGAGCAAAACGTTTCGGTGTCGGTTTATGTGTTTCTGAATTGATTCTTTGTTAGTGTTAATCAAGTTGTTGATCATAAATTTCAAATTAATTGGAGCACAGTAGTTTTTGTAAAAATTATGAGTTGAAATTCTTAGCGAGCGGAAAAAAATTTAAAAATATACACGAAAGACTTGGAACGTAATGTTTTAGTGTAAAAATTATGTAAAACATAAATTTCCGAAATTTCACCTACGCCAATATGAATTCAACAACTGGGGTGGGGGTCATGGGGGACTGTTAATTTAGCACGTCGTAAGAGCAACACTTGAATAATTCTGGTATGTCTGTGTGTGTGTTTGTGTGTCTGTGTGTGTATGCGACTCACCTGGATATGCTTTAATCATGATGGCACGTCGTTCTAGATTTCGATTGACTTTGTTTTTAGCGCGACACTCGTAGCGCCCAGCATCTGAACTATTGAACGATCGTATTATCAGCTCGGAACGTTTTCTACAGATGAAAAGATTGTGTTCGGTTAATATCGATTTCATTATTTCTAAAAGTAATTATGTTATGTATACTTACTTGTAGTGAACAAATTGATATAAGTTTCGATAACGATTTATCGACTTGTGATCTTTGAACCAAGTCACTTTCGGTGGTGGCCGGCCAGAAACTTTGCAGACGATACGCAATGCTTTTCCGTTCTCCACTGTACTATTGCTAGCTGTGATCGATCTTATCGATGCGAGCTGTGCTGTAAAGAATTTATGAAAAACAGAAATAACCAGTAATGAAAAATTTGTCTATAGGTATTGTATAATTCAGATATAAATTTTTAAATATTTCACATAATGCAATAAAATAAGCTTACAATTATGAATATTTATTAGTATAAGAAGTAATTTAGTAAGAGATTCTCCTAAGAAAAAAAAAAATGTTTCGTTTACGACTTTTTATTACTAATCAGAATAATAACTTAAACATTTTGTTGCCATGAGAATAAAGAAGTACTCGTAGTACTATAACTCTAGAATTCAGTGGACAAAGTAAAGGAAAAGAAAGAACAGACAGTTTAAGGAGCCTTGGTCTCCCTGAAAATTGTTAAGATTTGTATCTGCCATCCATTTTTTACATATAGTTAATAAAAGACAAAAGTCATAGCATGTAATATATTCCGAATGACCTGCACTTCACACAATGAAATCAGATACTGGAATCTTATTGGAAGAGATTGTCCTAATAAGCGAATTGTAATTTTTTGAAATCACTAGTGTGGGATCCTATTCTTTTTAATATTTATTGCAGGAGTTGTGACATTTTGAGGAAATGTAAGCAATTTCACATTTTAAATGTGCTTTCCTAATTTTAGCTAACAGAAGGAATGGGTTTTTAGGAATAATATCTGGTGATTATATACTGCAATTAACGATAGCACTACATCAGATTTTGATTATTCGAATTAAATGGAAGTTTATATCACAAAACCATATGAATTATAAATATTTTTAATTTTTTTAAAATCACTATCAAAGTTCAATACTACAGTGATCGAAACTTTCTATTATTACTGGGGTCAAATTGGTATATGGCCCGTTAGTGCGTTAGTGCTGTATTCAATCTGATATTAATCTGATTTCAATTTGATTTCAAATATGTGCTGATTTATTGCCGAAGAAAAAGTCTTCATTTTTATTCAAAACTGCGTTAATGAGAACGATATCTCGTTGATATTGCGCAACAGACTTGCTCTAAAAACAGCTTATAAAAAAGTATAGACTAAGTTCTACTAGAGTCGGACTAATAAATTATAGTAAAAAAGAATATTTGACACGTCCGTTTAACAGAAGAAATCAAGGTACATACATGTATATATTTAGGTTTACACAGCTTAAATATCTTTATGATTTTAAATGGATTCAAAGTTTTGGTTAGCATAATCTTATTTTCTTCTCGAATAATTTAAGAAACCGTTAGACTTGTTCAATCCTTTGCATTTCATGTTATCTGATAGTTAAGGTCACATCGATTAATATCATTATCAATCCAACCTCTCTTATGCCTATCACTACCATAACTAATATATGCAATACCTAATTGAATACTCGAAAATGGATTTTATGAATAAAACGAACATATGGTATGACCAATGAATCATTGCGCGCTATTAAGTCCCATTCTAGTGGGCTGCTTTAAAGGCTAAAACATACGGTTCCGTAGTGAAAGTGTACATTTTAATTAGTTCTTCGAAAGAAGTGAAGATGGTACTTCTGTTGCGATAAATTTTAGTAGTGAAAAATTCTACAAAGTTCACACAAGCACTCGTGCTAATTTTGTTAAGTAAATATTTATTTGAAATAGTTTCGCTTTAATTGCTGTTATAGATTAGTGCGCTCAAACAATAAATTCCTTAACAATTAATAGTTCGATTGATCATATAAACATAAATAATTTTTTTCTAAATATATTACAACTTAAAATAGATTAAATAGATTTGAATACAATCAGACAGAAACACATCACCATACTCTAGTAATTGTGCTACTTTTCTTAGAGAACTAATAAAAGCATTAAAACACGTGATATTACTGCTTTAGCATATAATTTGCAATTAAGCTAAAATCTAATAAATCACAAGAATTATTTACTTTTTACCGAGTTCACTGGGAATACTACACCCGCGTATCTGTTAGTGTTAAGAGGCCATTTTAGCTGAAATTCTTCATATCACAAAGAAAAGAAAAAAAAAATAAAAATAAAAATAAGAATCACACTTGACTGAACGTCGTCTTCATCTGTTTTAACATAAAAATAAGGAAAATTCTACAAATTCTATATTCTAATTTTTTAATTTGAAAATAAAACATATGTGAAGTATATATAATATATTTCTAGCCATATAGTATGTAGGTGTGTTTGTGCAGATCTTTAAATGAATCTAAATCTATGCGTGTGCAGATGTGGGTAAAATCATAAGAAATGAATCATGCGACTTTTAATTTTATTTTATTTTATTTATGTCTTTCAATTTTTATTTATTTTTTTTTTTTTTTGTAGTTTTTTTGGTACTTGGTGATAAAATCGTTAATTTTTCATTTAAATTTTCTTTGAATTGCAACTCATGTGAATCAAAATTTGATTTTTGCGAATGCTTTTGCTACGATCACAGTGATACTCATTCTCAAAAAAGATGTATAGAGACATATTCGCATATATACATATAAATATATAATTATATAGCGGTAAATTAATTAGAAACATTTTTATTTATGTCTGTCTAGCGTAAAATTTGGTTTCCATGAAAAGTATATTTCGTATTAAAAAATTATTTTATTGTGTGTCATGCTTAATTGTGGATTTATTTCATTTGATTATTTATTTGGAGATTTTTATTGTTATATATATTATGAAATATTTATTTAAATAGAAAAAATAATCAAAGAATTGCAGATAAAATTGCCACACGTTGGAAATATTAGTAGATCTTGGGTGCATCGTGACGTATGAGTAACATTGCGGTATGCGGACATTATAGGATGATTGCATTTATTTCTAATAAAGTCACTAAGTGGAAGAAAGGATATATAAACCACTTTAATTAATTGGAAAATTTGTTAAAACAGATTAAATAAAGTTTAAGTTGTTTTTTTTATTCATAATATGTAGAATTATTTTTCTGGTACCGAAATAAACGTAAGAAAAATATATTTGTGGTTGAGATTTTAATCAAATTTTGATTTTAGTACATTACATGGACATTTTCATTAGAAATAAGTAAATAAAAAATTATAATTATTCAAATGTCTAAAACAAGATGTCACACAATACTTGATTCTTAAAACTCGACCATTATTTGACATCATTTGATTTTTGAGGACTGTACAAATAAGCAGGATTATTTGCATAACCTCACAAAAAAAGTTTAATGGTAACAAATCGTATAATTTGCATAACCATAAAGTGAAAATCAACCGACTTCTGAAAATCATCCGACTCAATAAAGTCAACACAGGATGTGGTATATAGTTTCTCGTACCAACTTATTTAAACTTTGAATTTTCCTCATCTATATCCCCTATTTCACAAATAAAACAAATTGATAATCATATGGCTGTAGAGAGTAAAATCAAAATCATGACTGTTTGGGCTATCACATCTTCCAGACCAAATGCCATACCATACAGTGGCTCCAAGTAATATTCACGAAAAAAAAAACATTTTCCACTTTATGGGACACAGTCTAATTTTAAAATAAAATTATTTTAATATCGCCTGAATATTAGCACAAACTGGTATAAGCTCATAGTTCTCTTAAAGGAAGTGTGAAGTCTATAGAGATTTTGAAAAGCACACCTATTAGTTTATAAGGTTAATGTTCTTTGTATTTTAGTTTCTTTTTCAAATTCCTTCGAAATTGAAATTTTTTTTTTAAAAATTAAAACTACAATGTAAAACCCAATGGTGTCCCAAAACATTCATCCTTCTGCTTGCCAGTGCTGGACATGGGCACAATATATGCACCGATATCTCCCTTTCTTCTAGACATAGTCTGCAAGTGTCTTTCTCAACAAGACTTTTGTTGGATAACAATACACTTTCAGTGACATAAAATAAATAATTACCATAAATAATTGATGTTTTGTATCATTGGCAACCCTGTTGCACAAATGCAATTAATACAATAAAAAAGGTCAGTCTTGTTCAAACTCGCATTAAGAAACGACGTGTGTTTTCTTCTTCTCTTTTTCGGTTTTTAGTTGTTGTTTTACCAAGAAAAACTCTTCTCGGTACAACCTTTCTTTTTCAGGTGATACTTGAAGTTTCCATGTCTAGTAATCAATGAGGTCAGCTAGATTAAAGTGTTCCGCGGATAGCTAAGCATTTTTATCGCTACCTTGCCCAACAGTTTCGCCATCATAAGTTAACTCTGTCTACACGTGCTCACATCTCTCCATCTGTTAAGATGAAGTGAAGTTATCCACTTATCGACATATCGACTGCAGTACTGTTGTAGCTCTGGGCTTTGGGCCGCAGAAGTTATGGCTTGATTCTTGCTTTGCAAGTTCATCTGCTTCTTTGTTTTGCTCAATACTGATATGTCCTTTAACCCACATGATTGTTACCTCATTTCCATGAAAGCATTCCATGATCTTCGTGGTTATGGTTGTTATCTTATATAAAAACAATATAAGTTGTTATATATTATTATTATTTTTTTTTTAAAACGAACTGAATATTTTGTAGATATTAATTGCAAACTAAATTTTATTTTTTTCAGATTTTTTCTTGTACTTTTTGATATGAAATTTTACTGTTTTAATTGACATTTGACTTTAATACTAATAATGGTAAACTTTGTATAGAAAAACTATTCATAAAGTGCCAATTAATGAGAAAATCAAAAACTTTATAATTTAGTAGACTAAACGAGCACTGATTTTTTAATATTTACACAATTTTTGATTGTAATTCGGTTTTGCACAATTTTATGCCGTCATCGTGTTCGGCAAGGCGATAATTAATTCCAGTCACAAAACAAACCAAAGCTAATAATTTCTTAACGACATTATTAACTCATAAACAATAATTTTGATTACCACAACCGAATCGCGCAGAATCGCACCAAGTCGCGTTAAATGTTGATCGTGAACACGTCACAATGAAGCAGGTTAAGTGCGGCCGTCATCATAGAGCATTAAACGGCCGCTACTGCTTATACTGCCACCATTACCGGCCGTGTTTCTCACGATCCAAAAA